ATAGCATGGTGGTCGTATTGTTTCTCTGGGGGACGCTTCTTCCCAGGATATCTGGGCTGCCTCCAGAGTCGCAGTGTCTGGGGATGCTGGAAGGTGGGTGAGGTACAGATCTTCTTTTTTGGGGGGGCTGTGGATACATTTCAACACTGCTTTCTTTTACCTTGTGCCTTTTGCTTTGGCTTCTCGGCTTTAGGAGGGGCAGGAGCCTTCGTTTTGTGCTATCTTAGAAAAGCGAAAAACATTATTTCAATAATAAGTTTTTTACAGTAACTGGGTTTAATAGTAGTTTCCAAAATACTTTTGGTAATTTTTAACCTTAAAGTTAAGCTTACAAAAATATTTCCATTAAATATCTACATCATTTATAAATAAGATATACTAAAAACATTAATTACTGAACATATAATTCAGGTTTATATACTTTTGGCTTCTTATTTTACAGAGAAACTAGAATTTTGGCCTGTTAATAAAACATGTTTTTTGCCTATCACATTGAGAAATTGAGACGGAGCCACACTCAGTCTCAAAAAAAAAAAGAAGAAAAAAAAGAAATCTCTTTCTTGCTTTCAATCCTTGTTTTTTTGAGATGGAGTCTCGCTCTGTCGCCCAGGCTGGAGTGGCTCACTGCAAGCTCCACCTCCCAGGTTCACGCCATTCTCCTGCCTCAGCCTCCCGAGTAGCTGGGACTACAGGCGCCCGCCACCACGCCGGCTAATTTGTTTTATTTTAGTAGAGACGGGGTTCTCATCATGTTAGCCAGGATGGTCTTGATCTCCTGACCTCATGATCCACCTATCTCGGACTCCCAAAGTGCTGGGATTACAGGCGTGAGCCACCACACCTGGCCACTCTTAAGCTAACTCTAACTCACAACAATTTTAGTAGATTATGCTTTTGTAAACAGAAATGGAGCATTTATCTTTTTCCCCCACCTGATTTCTCTAGAATTTTGAAATTTTACTGAATACTCTTACTTTATGACAATATAGTTGTTAGCAAAAGTCCAGTAAGAATCTGTTCATCTTGTAACAGGACATAATTGGAAAGTTTGGTTATATTATCAAGGCTTTTACTGAAATATCATATTTAGGAAGTGTACCTCAGACTAGTTATGACCAGCAATTGTAAGGAACTAAGGTTGAATTTTATGGAGTCAATGCTTACAAAGCACTCTGAGAAAAGCCAGTCTGATACCTAGATTAAGGGGTTCACAGCCTTACAGATTAGTAAGGAAAGTCATTTCCTTGTAGGCCCAGGAATTTGGGGCTATTTTGAGGGCCTCTACAGAGAGGAATCTGCACACAAAGCCATAAGGACTGCAGCTGAAATTTGATAGTATGTTCTTGGCTTGGCTTTTAGCCTCAATAAGGTCTTTGGTGTCCAATCTGAGATCTGTATGCGAAATTTGCAGCAAGGAAGCTTAAAGCACCTATGTGGTCAACTCTTTGTTCTTGTTGCACTTTATAAATGATCAGGCAAAATCTAACAAGGTTAGACTTATTTTTGAAACAAGAATAATCTTACTTTGATTATCTATGATCAAAAATGATGGTTGGCTGGTGGAGATAATTTATTTCAATGGAAAACTTATAAGTTGACAGGTGTGGTGGCACATGCCTAAATTCCAGCACTTTGGGAGGCCAGAGTTCAAGACCAGCCTGGGCAACATGGTGAAACCTCGTGTCTACTAAAAATAGAAAAATTAGATGGGCATGATGGCATGTGCCTGTAGTCCCAGCTAATCAGGAGGCTGAGGAGGAAGGATCGCTTGCACACAGGAGGTAGAGGTTGCAGTGAGCTAAGAATGCACCTTTGCACTCCAGCCTGGGAAACAGAGCCAGACCCTGTCTCAAAAACTCTTGAGGAAAACTATATGTAACGGAAATGATGAGTAGATAGGTGCAGCAAAAACCAACATGGCACATGTATACTCCATGTAATGCAACCTGCACGTAGTGCACATGTACCCTAGAACTTAAAGTATAATAAAAAATTTAAATAAATAAAAGGAAATCTATAGCCTTTGTGGATTATCAGATTCTAGTCTAGTTTCTTGTCTTTGGGCTAAGCTTTACCTGTTTGTAAACTGGATCCTGCCATCTGATGAATTTGTCTACAATGATACTTGTGGAATAAGAAGCCAAATACTGTCTTCCTATTAATGTGTATCTATTGTCACACTCTGAAGGTCTCCAACCCTGGGAACAAAGTTAGAAGAGGAAGGTTTTGCTCCCCAAATGCATAAATCAAATTGTGGTACATCTTGCAATTAAATACTATTTAGCCGTAGAAAGGAACAAGCTACCAACCCACACAAAGACATTATGAATCTTATACATTGCTAAGTGGAAGAAGACAGTCTGAGGAGAATATACACAGTGTGACTTCATTTAATGAGATTCTGAAGAAGGCAACCATACAGATGGGAAGCCATTGGCTCCATGGGGTGGGGGTTTGAAGCATTCCATATGATACTTTAATAAAGGGTACCTGCCACTACCCATTTGTCAAAATGATGCAGAATTTTACAGCCAAACGGGTATGCCAAACTCTATTCAAATTAAATAAAATTATTCAGGATGTGGAGTATCACAACACAGAATATATCATGTGAAAAAGAAATTAACTATGCTACAAATTACTATGGTTTGGATGTGGTTTGTCCCTGCAAAACTCGTGTTGAAATTTGACCCCAGTGGCAGGAAGTGTGGGGTCCAGTGAAAGGTGTTTGGGTCATGAGGACGGATTCCTCGTGAATAGGTTAATGTCCTCCATGGGGATGAGTGAGTTCTGCTCTCACAGGAATGGATTAATTCCTGCAGGAGTAGGAGCACAAGAGTCTGGCTCCTTGGCTTCCTCCTACTGTCGCCTTGCTATGGGATCTCTGGTGCACCCCTTTGCTCCCCTTCCACTTTCCACCATGAGGTGAAGAAGACTGAGGCCCCACCAGAAGCAACTGCCTAATCTCGGACATTCCAGCCACCAGTATTGTGAGCCAAATGACCTTTACTTATAAATTACCCAGCCTCAGGTATTCTGTTACAGGAAGCAACAAAGTGACTAAGACACAAATGTATGAAAACTCACTGAAGGTGTAGGAAAATGAAGACTCAAGTCACTTCAAAAATGAATAGACTCTGTAGGCTGAAGGCAAATGAACTACACTTCATCACTGGATTCCATTTTATAAAGTTCTTCCAACAGGAGTAATTGCAGAACAATTGTAAAAACCACAGTATCCTTTATCTGAATAAAACAATGACTTACATAACTTGCAGATGTAGAACCATGTCTCTACTGTTGGGCGGAGATTACAAATTAGCAAGGGAGAAGGAATGATTCATGTGATAGTAGATCAGAGGTGGAGACATCAACATAAACTTACATTTGGTTTAATATAGATACAGTTGCTCCACACAGAAACCTTTATAATTAGGTGTATAGGTCTATTAGATGCACACATATGCTCTAGCATTGCTAAGGAGGGACAAGATATAATGTGCTCATTCAGCCGTCAGATGTAAGTTTTCCTACCATTCTCAAAGGAATCAGGCTCTTTGAAGAAATGTCTGGTACTAGAACTGGGACAGTAAATATATGAGCCAGATAATCTTGCAGTATCAGAAAGTGCATGTACGAAAAATTAAAATATGTAATAAAATAAATAAAAATTAATTCTTTTATTGAAAAGAAAAATAGAGCCAATAAAAGAGCTACCCATGACCAACACAGGAATGAATTGTGCAACATAATGTCAGGTAGTGCTGAATAGTAACTAAAGCTTTGGCAATTATCTAGTGTCTGTCTTTGTATACATAGGTGAATAAGCAAATGGAGTTGAATAGAAATCACCTTTGCAAAAGAATCTGCAAATAATTGAGGTAGACAGTCAAATATCAAGAATAGTGGAGTTCTCACCTGTATAAGTGTGGGTTCGCATAGTGACTTGTCTCCAAAAGAACACGTGCAGTATGGACAAGGAGGAAAAATAACATCACAGTGGAGAAACCTGAGCCAAACTAGCTCAATAACAATCCAAGTGAAATATCAAAGGCGATAATTACCTTGAGAAATGAAGTGACAAGAGTAGCACTTCACCTCTGTGATCTACTTCTTCCAGACCCAGAACCCCAGTCTAATTATAAGAAAAATTCCATGTTTAATTACAATGGGGGACATTCTACAAAATTCCTGACCAATCCTCCTCAATACTGTCAAGGTCATCATGAGATGGAAAGCCAGACACGCTGTCACATCCAGGAGCCACCTACATGATGACTACATGTCATGCGGGATCCTGGATGGGTCAGGGTAAGATGGAACTAAGGGAATCCAAATGAAATATGAATTTTAGTTAATAATAGTCTATCAGTATTTGTTCATTAACTTTGACACATTATGTAAGATATTAATAAGCCATGTGAGACACACTGACAGAAGATGTTAATAAGAGAAGAAAGTAGGTTGACGCTACAATGGAAATCTCTGCAATTTTTCTTTTTTGCAATTTCTGTGTAAGTCAAAAACTGCTATAAAATATAACTGTATTTGAAACATTGTTATATTTTTCTAACACTTCCTTGTTTAACTATTTATACCATGAACTGCTAGTAATTGACACTGTTAACTAGTCCTGTTTTTTAAATAAGAGCATTTATGACACAAAAAAATTAAACAATACAGACTGATATATAAATCAAAATAAATGTTCTTTACATGTTTTCTGTTACAGTGGTAACACATATGTGTAAACTTATTTATCATATTTTTTTCTTGTGCTGTGGTTGTGTCCTGGGTTCATTCGCTAAAATGCTGTTCACTTTAGACCAGGAAAAAAAAATAACCTACCAGACTCTGTTTCAATTCATGACAAAATATTTTCAAAAGAGTGACTTTGTAAAAATATGTTCCAATGGCAAATTGATTCATTGTGACTGGATCACTTCTTCCAAAGACTTCTTGTCTTTATTTTGTTCCATGCCTACTTTTTAGCCATAATACAACAGAATCAAATATTGGCCACTGGGAAAAAAATATTCAAAGAAAGAAAGAATGTGAACAGAACTTGTGACCATGAACATTCAATGTTTTACCACAAAGATTTCTAAAACAGAAGCGTGTAAAAGGATATTAAAAGTCAATTTCCTCAATGAGGCTTTGCAGAAAATGGGGAAACTAGAGAAAAAAAATGAAAGGACATTCTACGGGTGATTTTAGATGTTACTATGCTTTACGGAAAAAAAATACTTTACCTTTTAAAGAATCACAAAGAAGTATTAGAAACCAAAACTCTGGAATGTTTCCAAATTTAGTTGAACCTCTATGTTGTTATGTCTATAGAGCTAGGCATGAAGTTGATGATTTTTTAAAAATCTGTGCCTTGTGTAATAAAATACCCAATGAATACTTAATGCTCATAGGAAAACATGTTAGACCTTGTGAAAGGAAAATCAACTTTGGGGACCCAAAATCACTAAGCTAAAGGGAAAAGTCAAGCTGGGGCTGCTGAGGGCAAACCCACCTCCCATTCTGTCCAAAGTCACCCGTCTGCTCACCAAGAGAAATGTGTATCTGAGTGTCTCATCGGGAGAGGGTAACCGGCAACTCAAAAGAATGAAACTATTTGTGTCTTACCTACCTATGACCTGGAAGCTCCCTGTCTGGCCTTCTCTTCAAGTTGTCTCACCTTCCTGGACTGAACCAAGGTACATCTTTCACATATTGATCGATGTCTCACGTCTCCCTAAAGTGTGTAAAACCAAGCTGGGCCCCGACCACCTTGGGCCCGTGTTGTCGGGACCTCCTGCAGAGGCATCAGGGGCGCATCCTCAAACTTGGCAAAATAAACTTTCTAAAAAATCTGAGACCTGTCTCAGACTTTCACGGTTCACACCTGTAATGTAGGATGTCAATGTTTATAAAACAGATATTATTCTATCTACTATTAAAATATGCTGCCAATTAACCTTAGACTTTCTCAACAAAATAAAAAATGTTGATGAGGTACAAATAATATATTTAAACTTAAATAATGTTGCAAGTTTTAATATGCCTACTTTTCAATTTTTCAATACCATTTTTACTACTTTAACACTGTAAGAAAAACGAGTAATGAAAGCATGAATAAAAGTGTTTACAGGGAGTGCACGTTTCCTCCAGCCTTCACCCATCCCCAGCTTTCATCCCAACTGTCCTGAGGTGGCTCTAAGCATTGCTCCTTTCTCGGTACCAAGATCTCCCCGCTGAAGCAAACCCAAATCTTACCATATGTTATGACACACTGTGATGATGAGCAACCAAAGCCTCGAGGAAGGGATGCTTTTGTAAAACAAGACTTGCAGGATATAACGTGTGAAGTAAAGCCCATGGCAGAGCTCCCTTTAGCACCCAGGGAGCAGACAGGAAGCTTTTGCCTCACCTTCCTCACTGGCCCGCAGCCACATCTCCCCAGGTCAGTCTTGAGGACAATGAAATTCTGGTCTTCACTGTGGACACACTACCAGGTGCTCCAAAGCCATGGCCTCTTCTCTGGTGGTTCCTGAGGAGAACAAATCTCTGGTTCTAATCCTAACCCCAATCCTGTCTCTAGACTTTGACCCTGACCCTAAACCCTGATCCCTACCCTGGTCCCTAATTCTGACCCTGACTTTGACCCTGACTCTGATCTTGACCCTGACCATGACCCCACCTCTAACCATACTTCTGGCCCTGACTCTGACCCAGACCCTAATCCTAACACTAACCCTACTATTATCTTTACAATCTATCTCTAATCTTACCCCTTACTGCTAAATAGCTGTACTCAAAAGCACTTTTAAAATTATTTAATTTCTTTTCCAAGAATTCTTTAAGGACATCCTAAAGGAGATGTCATTATGTATTTTGCAGTCCCTCTGAGTGGTATGGCTTCAGATAGGAAGTTCTAATACTTTACAAGACATAAAAAGTTTGGAGAGTAACAGCACAGGGTTTGTCAGGGATGCATGTCGGCATTCACAATAGTCATTGATGCTGTTCTCCAAATATTTTCATTTCAGTTTTTATGAATGCATTCTGACCATTCCAACCCACCTGCTTAAATTTTTGCAAGACCATATAGTTTTTGTTTTGTTTTGTTTTGTTTTGTTTTGTTTTTTTGCCAATGGAGGTGAGAAGAAATAACATGTGACTTTTTCAGGAGAAATCTCTAATAACAGAGTTCTATTCAACATGCTCTTTTCTCTTTTCTATAGCAACAATTTTAGCAATATTAATAGCTTCAAAAACTAACTTAGCTATTAGGTTTTTTAAAATGTCTTTTGTCTTCCAGTTTGTAAGCCACACTGATCAGGACTACAGAGTTGAATTATTAGAAGTGATAAAAGAAAGATAATGCTTATCTTTTGAAAACATGAATTGCCTGTTTAATGGGCACAAACAAGTTTTGTTCTATTCATCAGGTGATAAACAAAACTCTACACAAAAAGTGAGGGTCAGGGAATGCAGAGAACACACAACTGACTTCATGGCAGGAAGATTCTTAGTACTAATTCAATGTTACTTCTTATTAGCCGCAAAATATAATTGTATTTGAAATTTTTATTGTGGACACTAACCATCATTATGGACACAGGATGGCCATTAACCAATGAGAAAAGATGGTGGTTTTATCTACCTTTGGTCTTTGATGATGGTGACGTAAAGATGGGGTTTTGGTGTGGATGTCCTTTCTGTTTGTTAGTTTTCCTTCTAACAGTCAGGATCCTCAGCTGCAGGTCTGTTGGAGTTTGCTGGAGGTCCACTCCAGACCCTGTTTGCCTGGGTATCAGCCACGGAGGCTGCAGAATGGTGAATATTTCTGAACAGCAAGTGTTGCTGCCTGGTTATCCCTCCTGAAGTTTCATCTCAGAGGGGCACCTGGCTGTGTGAGGAATCAGTCGGCCCCTACTGGGGGGTGCCTCCCAGTTAGGCTACTCGGAGGTCAGGGACCCACTCGAGGAAGCAGTCTGTCCATTCTCAGATCTCAAACTCCATGCTGGGAGAACCACTACTCTCTTCAAAACTGTCAGACAGGGACATTTAAATCTGCAGAGGTTTGTGCACACTTTTGTTTGGCTATGCTCTGTCCCCAGAGTTGGAGTCTACAGAGGCAGACAGGCCTCCTTGAGCTGCGGTGGGCTCTACCCTGTTAGAGCTTCCTGGTCACTTTGTTTATCTGCTCAAGCCTCAGCAATGGTGGGCACCCCTCCCCCAGCCTCACTGCTGCCTTGCAGTTAGATCTCAGACTGCTGTGCTAGAAATGAGCGAAGCTCCGTGGGCATGGAATCCTCCAAGATAGGTGCGGGATATAATCTCCTAGTGTGCAGTTTGCTAAGATCCTTGGAAAAGCACAGTATTAGGGTGGGAGTGACCCGAATCTCCAGGTGTTGTGTGTCAGGGCTTCCCTTGGCTAGCACAGGGAATTCCCTTACCCCTTGCACTACCTGGGTGAGGCAACACGTCACCCTGCTTTGGCTTTTGCTCGGTGGGCTGCACCCACTGTCCAGCACCCACTGTCAAATGCGCCCCAGCGAGATGAACCCGGTACCTCAGTTGGAAATGCAGAAATCACTCGTCTTCTGTGTCACTCACGCTGGGAGTTGTAGCCTGGAGCTGTTCCTAATCGGCCATATTGAAACCGCCCAGCTTTAGCTTCTTTCCAGGTAATGCTGCATCTGCATTTGAGACCAGAGGCATTAACATGGGTTAAATTGTAAAACTGTTTAGCATTAGATATGGCAGTAGCAACTAGGTGATCAGCCATTTGATTCCCTGCAGTCGAAGGTCCTAGAACCCGAACCCGAACCATAACCTGAATCCGAACCCAAACCCGAACGCTAACCAGAACTCTAGCCCTAGCCCTAACCCAAACCCGAACCTGAACCCAAACCCTAACCCGAACCCTAACCCAAACCCAAACATGAACCCTAACCCTAATGCTTAACCCTAATCCTAACTCTAACCCCTAACCCTAACCCTAGCCCCTAACTGTAACCCTAACCCTCACCGTAACCCTCACCCTCACCCTAACCCTCACCCACACACTCACCCCTAACCCTCAACCTCACCATCACCCTAACCATCACCCTAGCCCTTGCCCTCGCCTAGCCCTGACCCTGACCCTCGCCCTGACCCTGACCCTCGCCCTGACCCTAACCCTCACCGAGACCCTCATCCTCACCCTCACCCTAGCCTTTACCCTGACCATGACCTGAGCCCCAGTCATTACCCTGACCCTGACCCAAGCCCCAGCCATTACCCTGACCCTGACCCTGACCCGAGCCCCAGCCATAACCCTGACCCTGACCCAAGCCCCAGTCCTAACCCTGACCCTGACCCTGACCCAAGCTCTAACCATAACCCTGACCAGAGCCCTAGCCATAACCCTAAACTGTAACCTTGACCCTAACCCGAGTCATAACCCTAAACCCTAATCATAACCCTAATCCCAACTCCAACCCTAAACCGTAACCCTGGCCCTATCTCTAGCTCTAGCTGTAACCCTAAATTGTAACCCTGACCATAACCCTAGCCCTAGTCATAACCCTAAACCCTAACCATAACCCTAATCCCAACTCCAACCCTAATCCTAACCCCAAATCTAACCCTAACCCCAATCGTAACCCCAACCCCTAACTGTAACCACTAACCCTGATAGCAACCCTAACCATATGCTAGTGGCTACATTTGTGTTGATTATGTCAGTGTTCATTATTGTGAGCACTGTATTGGGTTGCAGCTTGCATGGGGAGTGAGGATTTATAACATTTTCGTTTTTAGGTAGTGTGCCAGCATTACAGATGTTTGGTACATGAGTACTGCAGGTGTTGCATTCGTATTTCAGATGGCATGACTGCATTATGAAGAATGCCTTTGTGTTCTGAGGCTGCAGTATGGACCTCGCACTGCAGCCATCTCGCCTTGGGTGGGGAGAACCTCAGTGCATAGGATTTAGAGGGTCTTTTGGTTTCCAGTTTTCCACACCGAGCCTTTCAAACTAGTCTGTGACCCTCAAGATTCAGGGCTGCAAACAGGAAGGATTTCACTCACCGTGGATTTGGTCCTGAGTTGTCCCAAAGCGAGATAGTGCCCCCAAGGTCTGTGCTGAGGAGAAAGCAGCCCTGCCCTTACAGTGTCCTCTGCGTCTGTGCTGGGGAGAACACTGCTTTGCCTTTGCAGTGCCCCCGGGTCTGTTCTGAGCAGAATGCAGCTCTGCCCTCGTGGTAACCCCTGCGTCTGTGCTGCACAGAACGCAGCTCTGCCCTCACAGTGCCCCCCAGTCTGTGGTGAGCAGAATGCAGCTCCACCTTCGTGGTGCCCTCTGGGTCTGTGCTGAGAAGAATGTAGTTCCGTCCTCACATAGGCTATGCACGGCTCTGGGAGGCAGGCAGGTGGCAGAACCTCAGGAATCTGAAAAGGCTAACTCGGGCACCCCCTGCTGGCAGCCGAGCACTGCAGGGCCTGCTTGCTCATGGTGCTGTGCCCATGTGCCACCTGTTGGTGACTAAGACAACTGCAGGACCCTCTTGCTCACAGTGTAGTGGCAGCACGCCCCCTGCTGGCAACGAGGGCATAGCATGGTCCTCTTTCTCATGGTGTGGTGTCCGTGCACCCCCCTGCTGGCAGCTGGGGACACTGCCTGGCCCTGTTGCTTGCCGTGTAGTGGTGGCACGCCACCTGTAGGCATCTGGGGGACTATGCAGGACCCTCTTGCTCCAGGTGTGAGGCTGGTGCCCCCTACTAACCTCTTTCTGCACCACTTAAAGTCGGAGCACCAGTAATTCAGTGCCATCAGTTTGGGAAATTCAAACTCAAAAGGAGCTATCGCTGGAGACAGCTGATGTCCCAGTTCTTGTCTAACTTGGAAGAAAGATTTTCACCAGGAGGCAGTACAAAGATGACTTCATTGAAAATAAATACAGTGTAAACAGCTTATTGTAGAAAAAAATAGGTAGGACCCAAGGGAGGAGTGGGCTGCTTGTGCAGGAAAACAGGCCAAGTGTCCTGTGCAGGAAATTTTAATTTGGGTTTCTTCACATTCATGCCTCTGTCTCAAGTCTCCACCTGTTTTCTTTGTCTGGTTTTCCTGCTCCTGCCTTAGATCCCTAACTTTCCCCACTTGGGCTTGTGGGACCCCCTCACTGTTGGTTGGGGCACATGTGCAGTGATCAAACCAAATCCACTCTGGGACTGGGCTCCTTCCTGCCATCTCAGGAAGGTTTCATGGTGGTCACGTCTGTACCTACTGCACCTGCCTATCTCTTTTGAATGTCCTCTGCCTTAATCTGTACTTATGGTGCCAAGTTTCTCTTAAGAATGTTCCCTTTGTCCTACTTATCAGCATGTAGCCAGCAATATTCTTTTTTTTTTTTTTTTTTTTTGAGATGGAGCCTTGCTCTGTCACCCAGGCTGGAGTGCAGTGGTGCAATCTCAGCTCACTGCAAGCTCCATCTCCTGGGTTCACACCATTCTCCTGCCTCAGCCTCCCGAGTAGCTGGGACTATGGGTGCCCGCCACCACGTCCGGCTAATTTTTTGTATTTTTAGTAGAGACGTGGTTTCACCGTGTTATCCAGGATGGACTCAATCTCCTGACCTCGTGATCCACCTGCCTCTCGGCCTCCCAAAGTGCTGGGATTACAGTCAAGAGCGACTGCACCTGGCCTACAATTTCTGGAAGAAAACATAGAAGAAAAGCTATGCGTCTTTGGGTTTGGTAATGAATCTTAACAAATGACACAAAAAGTCGATACACATAGAAGAAATAATAATGTGGATTTTTTAATATTAAAAGTTTACACTCTGGAAAAGATCTTATTAAGAGAATAAAAAAAACAAGCCACATATTGAAAGACAATATTTGCAAAATACAAATCTGAGAATTTGTATTCAAAATATGCAAAAAAAAACCCTTAAAACTAAACAATAAGTTAAACAGCCCAATTAAAAATGCACACAGATCTGAACAGACACCTCACCAAAGAAGATCTACAGATGGCAAGTAAACGTACAAAAAGATGCTCAACATAGTAGAGAACTGAAAACCACAATGAGATAGCACAGCTGGTATATATCTGTTAGAATTGCTAAACTCTAAAAAAATGACAAATTGCTGGAGGAAAGACAAGAACTCTTCATTGCTGGTGGAACACAGTGTAGAAGACCATAATATGCCACCTCAAAATATAATGGTAGGAATCCAGAATATGCCAACCCAAAATATGTCTCTTTGGCTTAAGAATTATTCCATGATGATTATTTTGAAAAAATGCTATGAAAGAAGTTCTGAAAACAGAGTAGAAGTTACTCTTCTGTAAGGAAAATTTACATCTATAAAGGAAATCCCCATTTAAAAGCTACCTATCTCTCTTTCCACCAAGAAGAGAAGGATAACTAAATCACTGAAGAGTCTTATCAATGGAGACTGCACGCACTTAAGTCTGTATATCAAACTTTACCTACTGTCCTTTTGCTGGTTACCTTCCCATTACTGCACCTCAAATCTTCTTTAAGTTGAAGATAGTATTTACACTTGAACTGAAAACCAATTGTTGGAGATTTACTCATTTTTCCCTGAGTGTCTCCCATGTATCCATAAGGTATACATGTTTTCAGACTTTTCCACATTTTTCTCATTTTAATCTGTCATTTGTTACAGAGGGTCCCATCTAAGAATTCTGAAAACAGAGAGAGAAAATTATTTTTCTTCCCCTATTACAAGTGGGGCAGTTTTTCCCAAAGCTCAACAAGTCTCACCTTACAATCCAAAAATCACATTCCTAAATACTTTAGCAAATACTTTGTTATATCCAAACAAAAGGTACCATGCAATTATGTACAGAAACCCTATCCATAATGACCAAAGGGAAAAAAAGGAATCAGAAAGTCTTACAATAGATGACTGTGTGGGAACCCACTCAGACATCAAAAATTGTTATAAAGATTATTGGAATGAAAACATTTGAGATACTGAGGATAAAGGAACAAATCTTACCAGAACTTACTTTATCAAATTAGAGCAGAGCTCCCAAAAAATACAGCTGCCATTAACATCATCCAAAGAGTTTCTTGCAAATTCAGCTGACATGAAGACAGCCTGATCATTCCCATTAGCATTGATAAATGAAAATGAAATCCTAACCTCCCAACTGACTGAACAGATCCATGGTTCAATTATCTCCCCCCAGGTCCCTCCCATGACACGTGGGGATTATAGGAACTACAATTAGAGATGAGATTTGGGTTGAGACACGACCAAACCATATCATTCCACCCTGGCCCCTCCCAAATGTCATGTGCTCACATTTCAAAACAGAATCATACCCTTCCAACAGTCCCCCAAAGTCTTAACTCATTACAGCATTAACTCAAAAATTCAAGCCCAAAGTCTTGTCTGAGACAAGGCAAGTCCCTTCTGCCTATGAGCCTGTAAAATCAAAAGCAACTTAGTTACTACTTAGATAAAATTGTGGTACAGGCATTGGATAAATACACACATTCCAAATTGGAGAAATTGGCCAAAAAAAGGAGCTACAGGCCCCATGCAAGTCTCAAATCCAATAGGGCAGTCTTTAAGCTCAAAGGTCCAAAATGATGTCCTTTGACTCCATGTGTCACATCCAGGTCATGTTGATGCAAGAGGTGGGCTCCCATGGCCTTAGGCAGTTCTGCCCCTGTGACTTTGCAGGGTACAGCTCCTCTCCCAATTGCTTTCATGGGCTAGCATTGAGTGTCTGTGGCTTTCCCAGGCACACAGTGCAAGCTGTCAGTGGATCTACCATCCTGGGGTCTGGAGGACAGTGGCCCTCTCCTCACAGCTCCATTAGGCAGTACCCCAGTGGGGACTCTATGTGGGGGCTCCAACCTGACATTTCCCTTCCACACTGCCATAGCAGAGGTTCTCCATGAGGGCTCTGGCCCAGCAGCAGACTTCTGCCTGGACATCCAGGCCTTTCCCTACATCCCCTGAAATCTAGGCAGAGGTTCCCAAACCTCAATTCTTGACTTCTGCACACTTACAGGCCCAATACCACGTGGAAGCTGCCAAGGCTTGGGGATTGCACTATCTGAAGCAACTACTTGAGCTGTATGTTGGCCCTTTTTACACATGGCTGGAGTGGCTGGGACACAGGGCACCAAGTGCCAAGGCTGTACACAGCAGGATGGCCCTGGCCCTGGCCCAGGAAACCACTTTTCTCTCCTAGGCCTCTAGGCCTATGATGGGAGAAGCTTGCTGTGAAGACCTGTGACATGATCTGGAGACATTTTCCCCATTGTTTTGGTGATTAATATTCAGCTACTTATTACTTATGCAAATTTCTGCAGCAGGCTTGAATTTTTCCCAGAAAACAGGGTTTTCTTTTTTATCACATCATCAGGCTGCAAATTTCCCAAACTTTTATGCTCTGCCTCCTCTTGAATGCTTTGCCACCGGATACCCTAAATCATCTGTCAAGTTCAGAGTTCCACAGATTTCTAGGGCAGGGACAAAATGCCCCCAGTCTCTTTGCATAGGAAGAGTGACTTTTACTCCAATTCCCAACAATTTCTTCATCTCCATCTGAGACAACCTCTACCTGGACTTTATTGTCCATATCACTGTCCGCATTTTGGTTAAAGCTATTCAACAAATCTCTAGGAAGTTCCAAATTTTCCCACATCTTCCTGTCTTCTGAGCTCTCCAAGTCTCTAGAAAGTTCCAAACTTTCCCACATTTCTATAACTTCTTTTGAGCCCTCCAAACTGTTCCAGCTTCTGCCTGTTACCCAGTTCCAAAGTTACTTCTACATTTTGGGGTATCCTTATAACAGCACCCCACTCTCTGTGGTACCAATTTACTGTATTAGTTTGTATTGGGCTGCTATGAGGACACGCCCAAGACTGGGTAACTTATAAAGAAAAAAGGTTTAATTGACTCATAGTTCTGCAAGGCTTGGGAGGCCTCAGGAAACTTACAATCATGATGGAAGGGTAAGCAAACATGTCCTTCACATGGCAGCATAAAGGAGAACTGCATAGGGAAGTTGGGGGAAAGCCCCTTATAAAACCATCAAATTGCATGAGAACTCACTCATGATCCCAAGAACATCATGGAGTTAACCACCCCCATGATTCAATTACCTCCCACTCTGTCCCTCCCACAACACATGGGGATTATGTGGACAATTCAAGATGAGACTTGCATGGGGATACAGCCAAAAAATATCAGGAGACATCAAAATTAAATGCGGCCAGGCGTGGTGGCTCAAGCCTGTAATCCCAGCACTTTGGGAGGCCAAGACGGGCAGATCACGAGGTCAGGAGATCGAGACCATCCTGGCTAACAGGGTGAAACCCTGTCTCTACTAAAAAATACAAAAAGCTAGCCGGGCGAGGTGGCGGGCACCTGTAGTCTCAGCTACTCGGGAGGCTGAGGCAGGAGAATGGCGTGAACCCGGGAGGCAGAGCTTGCAGTGAGCTGAGATCCCGCCACTGCACTCCAGCCTGGGTGACAGAGCGAGACTCCGTCTCAAAAAAAAAAAAAAAAAAATTAAATGCAATGTGTTATCCTGTATGGGATCTTGGAACATTAAGTTAAAAAGGACATTAGTTAAAACTAAGGAAATCTGAATAAAGTATGAACTTCAGTTAATAATAATGTATTAGTAATGGCTTATTAATTATAACAAATATACTATATTAATATTAGATGTTAATAATAAAGAAAAATGGCTATGGTGTATATGGGAACTCTGGGTGCAATCTTCGCTTTTTTTTTTTTTTTTTTTTTTTTTTTTTAAATCTTAAACTTTTCTTTTTTTTTTTTTTTTTTTGAGACAAAATCTCTCTCTATCACCCAGGCTGGAGTGTAGTGGCATGATCTCAGCTCACTGCAATCTCTGCCTCCCAGGTTCAAGTGATTCCCCTTCCTCAGCCTCCCAAGTAGCTGGCATTACAGGTGTGCACCACCATGCCTGGCTGATTTTTGTATTTGTAGTAGAGATGGGGTTTCACCATGTTGTCCAGGCTAGTCTTGAACTTCTGAAGTTCAGTGATCTGCCTGTCTCAGCCTACTAAAACTTTCCTAAAATAAAATGTTATTGTAAAAAAGGGATCATAGAAGAATATTATGAGTAATTGTATGCTAACAAATTGGATAACCTAGATGAAATAGGCTCATTCCCAGAAAAAGACACAAACTACTAAAACTGACTCAAAAAGTAGAAAATCTGAATAAATGTATAACAAGAGATTGAATTAGTAATTTTAAAATTCTCACGAAGAAAAGTCCAGACTCAGATGGTTTCACTGGTGAATTCTACAAAGTGTTCACAGAATCAAAATCAAACATTTACAAATTTTTCCAAATAATAAGAGGGAATGCTTCCCAATTTATCCTATGGGGTCAGTTTTCACCTGATATCAAAATCAGAAAAGGACATCACAGAGAAAGAAAACTACAGTACAATATCTGTTATGAATAGAGACACAAAAATTCTCAAGAAAATATTAGCAAACCAAATCTAGCAACATATAAAAAGGACCACACACCATGACCAGGGAGATTTATCACAGGAATTCAAGGTTGGTTTAACATTCCAAAATCAGTCAATGTAATAAACAATATTAAATGGACAAAAGCCATATGATCATGTCAATAGATACAAAAAGAGTATTTGACAAAATATAACACCCTTTATGATGAAAAACACTCAACAAACTAGGAATAGAAAGAGACTTCCTCATCCTACGTAGAGAACATCTATGAAAACTCACAGTTAACATCATACTTAATGGTTAAAGACAATGATTTACCCAAGATCAACAAGAAAACAAGAATGTCTATTTTCACATCATCTATTTAACACTGTACTATAGTTTCGACCCAGGACAGTTAGGCAAGAAAATAAAAGACATGAGATTGTAATGAAAGAAGTTAAAGTATCTCTATTCACAGATAATATGCACTTATATGTAGAAAATCCTAAGGAATTCATAAAAATACCTTATCAGAGTTAATAAATGAGTTCAGCATGGTTTTAGTATACAATACCCGCACACAAAAATAATTGTATTTCTAAACAGTAGCAATGAACAATCTAAAAGTTAAGAAAATTCCATTAACAACAGCATTACAAGTGATAAAATAGGAATAAACAAAATAAGTGAAAGATTTACACATTGAAAATTACAGAACATTGCTTAAAAAATAAAGAAGATCAAAATTAATGGAAAGACATTTCATCCTCATGGATTAGAAGACTTACTTTTTTCTTTTTTCTTTTTTTTCAAAATGAAGCATTTCTCTGTCATCCAGCCTGGAGTACAGTGGTGCAATCACAGATCACTGCAGCCTCAACCTCCTTGTCTCAAATGATCTTTCTGCATCAGCCTGTTGAGTCTGGAACTACAGGCATGCGCCACCACACCTGGCTAATTAAACAAAAAAAAAGTTGTAGTGATGGGGTCATTCCTATGTTACCCAGGCTGGTCTTGAACTCCTAGGTGTGAGCGATCCTCTTGTCTTGGCCTCCCAAAGTGTTGGGATTATAGGCAGGAGCCATGGCACCCAGCCAGAAAACTTAATATTGTTAAGACAATAATACTCCCCAAATCAATCTACAGATTCAATATGACCCCATCAGAATCTTAGCTGCATTTTCTGTAGTAATCAGCAACCTGATCCTAAATTGAAAGGACTCACTATACCCAAGATCTTGAAAATGAAAAACAGAGTTAGAGAACTAACACTTTCCAATTTCAAAACTTACACATAGTACTAACATATAGATGTATAAATGACCAGAGTAATAGAATTGAGAATCCAGAAAAAACCCTTATATTTGTCATCAATTTATTTATTCATTCATTTTTTGAGACAGGGTCTTGCTCTGTCACCTAGGCTAGAGTGCAGTGGCATGATCTTGGCTTACTGAAAGGTCCATCTCCTGGGCTCAAGCAATCTTCTCACCTCAGCCTCCCAAGTGGCTGGGACTACAGGTGCACACCACCACGTCTGGCCAATTTTTGTATTTTTTGTAGAGACAGGGCTTTGCCATATTGTCCAGGCTGGTCTCTAACTCCTGGACTCAAGCGATCCACCTGCCTCAGCCTCACAAAGTGCTGGGATTACAGGCATGGGCTACTGCACCTGGTAATCAATTTATTTTTGACAAGAATGTCAAGATAATTCAATGGGGAAAAAGTAGTCTTTTCAACAAATGGTGCTGGGACAACCGCATATCCACATGCAAAGCAATAAAGCTGGACTCCTACCTCATGCCATATATAAAAAGTAACTCACATTGGATTACAGACTAAATGTGAGCTAAACTTATAAAACTCTGAGACAAATACATATAATTAAATTTTCATTACTGGAGTTAGGCAATACTTTCTTAAATATGATTCCAAAAGCATAAACAACAGAAGAAAAAATAGATAAATTGGTCTTCATTAAACTTAAAAACCTTTGTACTTCAAAGGACACCATGAAGAAAGTGAAAGATTAATCTAGAATGACAGAAAATATTGGCAAATCAGATGTCTGATAAGGGACTTGGTCCAGGCATATTAAAAGAAAACTCTTAAAACTCAATAATAAAAGACAATCCCATTAAGAAGTGGGCAAATAATTTGAATAGACATTCTCCAAAGAAGATGACCAAAAAACACATGAAAAAATGCTCAACCTCCTTAGTCACTAGGGAAATGCAAATCAAAAGCATAGGGGTTACTTCTTCAGACTCACCAGAATGGCTGCAATAAAAAAGATAACATGTTGATAAGAACGTGTAAGAATCTTAACCTTCACACATTTTTGGTAGGAATGTAAAATGGTGCAAATGATTTTGTCAACAGTCTGGCAGTTCCTCAAAATGTTAAATGTAGAGTTACCATATGACCCAGCAATTGAAGGCTAACTAGAAGCCATGTTCAGAAACATGAAAACCCCAAGGATAGCACCAGCAGGCACTCAGTGGAGACTCTGCTTTTGCTCCAGGCAAACAGGATGTTCCAAGGGACCAAGGGAGGCCAGCATCTGCTGTAAGCACACAACCCATTTAGAAGATGAAGAGTTAAGAACTCCAGGAAGGCTCGTGCCTCATCGCTGCTGGGCCTTACAGAGGAGGCACAGGATATGAGGTTTGGTCCAACCCAGCTGGTAGGGCTGGCTTTTTCAGTTAAAATGGGCCCAACTGGGCTAGGTAAGGAGGACAGAGGGCAGGCACTCCGAACAGGGTTGAACTTGCCTTCCCTCACATGCCTGTCTCCACCCTGACCCCAAACTACGAAAGTCCTCAGTCCTTCTCTAATTCAGGAGCCAAAACTGTTTATGAATGATATTTCTGGAGTCACAGGGCTCTGGCAACATAAATCTATTTTCATCATTCAACTTCTATACTAAAGGATAATTCATCATGATTACCATCATTATATCTTATATTCCATGTTAAAATATACTACAAACAAAGTTTTCTTGATACCTAAGAAGGTCTATCTAAACTTACCATATGTTTAAACAAATCAGAGCATGAATGATTCTAGAATGTATAAAACTCTTTCTGTCTAAAACAGAAATCCAAAATCCTTTTGGCTTGCCTGATTGCCTGGTTCTTGATTCAGTATGTTTTGGACAAACCTCCTGATCGTGTGAGGTTCTCTCACTGTCAGCACAAACAGGGCTCATGTTTGGTGTGTACTTCAAGGCTGAATATCTGTCTTCGTGCCCTGAATTAAATCATAAGCTTCCTGATTGAAAGTGACCTTCTAAGCCCCTGCACTGATGGCTCAGAGAGGGTGACGGACTTTCTCAAAGCCACAGAGAAACTGGATTCCAGGCTGGAAATAAAATCCTTATTTCCTGATGCTGACCCAGCGCTCCAACTGTGTATGCATTCTTCTTACCACTGAAAACATAGTCTCCTGCTGGTTTCATCTTAAACTCAGTTACTATTGACTTAAACACTTTAGGATGTCACGCTTCTGCTGATCAAGGTGCAGCTCTGGCTCAGAACCATCCCCAAAGGAACCGCCGCACCGTTGCTCAGTCTACACATGAAGTGGCCATCACCCGCATGTTGGACTTACGTTTGCATTTCCTTCACGAGCATCCAAAATAATGAAGAGGAGAATTTTAACAGTGTTTTCTTGTACCTAGGTCCTTTTACACTAGGGAGGACCCTTAGGGCCTGAACTCATGTGATGTTCTTCAACAAACCAAAGGGAGGGAAGCTCCTGGCCATTTCCATCACTCATGCAAAGGCCCATGCCATGTTGAAGCTCTCATAGCTACTTCGGCATGAGATGCACATATATTATTTTTAATCTTTAAGCACTTGGGAGATGTAGCGTCCCCTTTATAGAGGCAGACAACCGAATGCCCCATTCACGGTCATCCTGCTCACTCTCTGCCACAGTGCCTGACTCAGTTCCCTCCCAGCTATCCTCCCCCTTCAGGCTGGTTTTCACAAAAAAGCAAAATTAAACTTGAAGGGCAAATGTTTCTGACACTGCATTTCTATTGTCCTTTGTCATTTCTTCAAAATACTCGTGTTTTTTAAAATCATTCTTTTTCTCTTTTGCACCCAAATCAAGGTAGTGTTGCCTGAAGTGGTCAGAGAAGCTGGGGAAAGTAGCAAGTTTCAATGTAGATGCCCCCTCCCACATGCACAAGACATACAAAGAGGGAAGTCCAGGTCTACTGTGACACCCAAGGTGCTGCCAGAGGACAAGAAGATCAGAGCACACCTAGTCATCTCTGGGCTGCTCACAAGGGCCCCACACAAGGACGTCTAACTGTGCACATCACCCGACCAGAAAGAAAGCCACTCTAATGTGTTAGAAGACATTCTTCCAGGCTTCTTTAACATGTATGTTTTTAAAAAATTAGGATCGTACACTGTTATATTTTTCCTTATGGTTTGAATAGAGCTATATAACCACATACCTCAACATTCAAAAGGTATTTAGTGAAATCTCCGGCTACCCAGCCCACTCCCCAGAGGTAACCAATGACTTCAGCTTTTAATGTGCCCTTCCAGAGATTTCTTACGCATATGAAGGCAAACAAATGTGAATTGTCTCTATCTTCCCTCTTTTCTAAACAATGGTACACACTACCCACACTGGCCCACTTCATGCTTTTTTCATTTAATTGGAGTATTTTGAAAACAGTCTTTTGCTGGATGTTCATAGTTCTACTGGGGCAGTACCCCTGATTCACAGCTGCCCCTGAACTGGAGAAAGATTACGTCTCATAATTATAAGGTGCCCCCAGAGATGTGACAGGCTCCTGTCACACTGGCCAGCAAAGAACCAGGCTGAAGACCCAGGCATTAATTTATCAGTCAAAATTTGCTGAGGAACAGGGCACTTCCCAGACCCCAAGCAGCCATACATTTAAAAGTTTTAATTGTCATATTATGAGTGGCAGGAAACTGCTGTGGCTTACCACTGACTACAGGCACACAGCAGGCACTGGAATCTTCACTGAATTAATGAATTAAACCTGTTGACCAGTTTTTTGTTGTTGTTGTTTATTTGTTTTTTGGAGAAAGGGTCTTATTCTATTGCCCAGATTGCAGTGCAGCAGTACTCACTGCAGTCTCAACCTCCCATGTTCCAGCAATCCTCCCACCTCAGCCTCTCTAGTAGCTAGAACTATAAGCTCACAACCACCACACTCTATTTTTTTTTTTTTTTTTTTTATAGACAGGGTCTCACCATGTAGCCAGTGCTGGTCTCAAATTCCTGGGTTCCAGTGATCCTCCTGCCTCAGTCTCCCAAATTGCTGGGATTACAGGAGTGGCCTGACTTGACCAGTTTTAAAATAAAACTCTAAAATTTTATTAAATTGATGTTGGCTGACAATGTCAGAAAACAGGAAGACAGTACAAGGTTTGAGCACAAAGTCATGAAATGTGTTCCATGCCCCTTATAAAGCAATGAGTCCCACCAGTCCGGCCATGTGGACATTGCATTTGCCATAATCTTCCCCCATCGGGAGCCAAATATCAGCATGCAGGTGAAGATGTTTTCAAACAACAGAAACAGGGAGGCAATGTTTCAAAGAATACTTGCACACGGTGACAAGAAGCAAGGCTGTTTTCTTGCAAAAGGCTTTGCTTCCAAATAACTCAAGAAGGAAGCACTGAATTGCTCTGACCAGCTCCCCCCTTCTTCTGGTCAGACTTGGGTGGGAGCCACCGAGTCACACACACTAGGTGGTGTTCCACACTAGCGACTGCATGGCAGGCACTGCGTCTGTTGCAGGCAGGTGGATTCTCCTAAGAGTCTGAGGACTTCCCACCCACTCCCCATCCCACATCCTTCCCTTCAGCAGAACAGACCTTAGAAAGAGAAGAATGTCTCAGAAATCCCATTCATGAGAGGGCAACCCCGGGAACCACCAGGCCACCAGGGCTTCAGAAAGGCCAGGAGGTTCACAGAAGTATCCTCTTGAGTGGCTGTGTCTCTATTTGAACTCACTTCTTCAAGCTAGGTAGAAACTTACTCATTGCATCCATATTTTCCTGTGCTGGGCTGAATAGTAAAAGAAAATGTGGTCTTCATTTTATCCCCAAGAGAGCTTGGTATACAGGAGATACTAAAAGCATTTACTAAATGACAGGTGACCAGCATGAGGCAGGCCCTACCTTTGTTCAAGGCCTCTGAGCACAGCAGGAAAAGGGCCCAACCCAGGGCTCAGGAAGTCGCATCCCACGGGGCAGAAGGCAGTGAGCAGTGAGACATGTTGGCCAGGCTAGTCTTGAACTCCTGACCTCGTGATCCATCCGCCTCGGCCCCTCAAAGTGCTGGGATTACAGGTGTGAGCTACCACGCCCAGCCAGAAGTGATATTTTAAAAGGGTTTAGGGGCTCAAGGAAGCCTTTACAATGTAGTAAATTTAAACACACACACACAAGAACACAACACCGAATCTGCAGTGAGGTCCCAATTAGGTCAGAAGTTACTTTGGCACAACACAGCACAGATGGGCAAGGCCTCTGGGCTAGGAATCCTGTCTAAGCCAGGAGCCACTCAGGCCAAAGAAGTCAGGACCTCTGGGCTGGGCCCAGGCAAGGTCGTTTCAGAAAGTTCTAGCTCCTGCTCCTCAAGGATATTCCTTGAACCAGAATCATTCCCTAGAGCCAGCTGGAGATGTTCTACACCAGACCCAGAGTCCAAATCTGCACTCTCACGAGATTCAGCATTCATGTGCACATTAAAGATTGAAAAACAGGGTCATAAACAGCCCAGTAAGCATCTCACTAGTCACAGCTATTGGCTGTTTTTCAGTGTTCATTCATTCAACAAAATGAATGCCAGAGAGGCCTGGGCCTGAATGGGTGTTGACTCCAAGGTGCTGAACAACTGACCTGTCTTCATGCGGCTGATGGTTTGCTCGAGTCAGAAGTTAAGACAGTAATCACACATGCAAATATGTAATTGCAAACTCTGAGAGACGCAAAAGAAGACTGGAAAACACAGGCCCTGATTTAAACTGAGTGTATAAGGAGTGGAAATAATCAGGTGAAGCATGAGGACAGAGAGCATTTCATCCTATGGCACAACCAAAGGAGCCTGGAGAGTCCCAGGAACGAGGAGGACGGTGTGGGCGGCCAGGTAAGCAGGAGCTTGTGTGTGTCTGAGATGCTCCAGGGAAACGCTGACACGGGAGTTGGCTCCAGGACGTGCTGGGGGCCTTCAGGTGTCTCCCACATTCCCCCACGCATCCAGGTGGGTCACAGGGTCACAGTATCACCATGTCAGAGGAAGAAGACCCTCAAGTCTCACTGTCAGGGTGGGGTCACATGTGCAGCTCTAAACCATTCACTGGCAGGGGCTGAGACTCACCTTAGACTGTCAGAGCTCCTGGCCTAGAGCAGGGTCTGTTGGGAGGGGATGGCGATGCTGGCCTACCATCCAAGCCCAGGGATATTCCAGCTGTAAAGGAGCTAACGCGTGTGTATGGCAAACATGAGCCGCCTCGGACCTTCAAGCCAGGGAGCACATGTGCACATCTGTGTCCTGTAGGAAACTAAGAAACACAGAAAGAACTCCATGTAGGAAAACAGAGTGCAATCGGTCTTAAAGGAAATACAGGCGGACATCCTAATGAGGAACCTGCGAGAGCGTGGGACTCGGCATTGTTTGCTATGGAATGACTTCCTGGGCTGGCACGTTGGGACCGTTTAAAATCGGGCCACACACCTATGAGTCAGATGAGGTGGAGCCTGGCACCCGCCCAGGTGCTGTCCACCCAAGATCCACAGTGATGATGGCCCAGCCATTGGCACTCGCAGAACTGCCCAGACGAGCATCGTGTCAGACTGCCCAGGGTGATGGCTAAACCCACTGTACCTTGTGGTCCCCTCTGAGCAGAGATAGTCCCTGCAGAGGGCCTGCCACTGGTTCATGCATGTGTTCTCCACCGACGCACCCAGCCCTGCTAAATGTAGGAGTTGGGGAGGGGTAGAAGTGGAGGACACAGAGGTCTATGAACGTGGTCTCTGTCCAGAAGGGATTTATCGTACAGGAGAGAAGACAGAGTCTATGCCAAGCTTTGTGTGCATGCTCTCTTTAATCCTGATGGCAACTCTAGGGAGGTGACATTGTTCCCACTTTACAAATGAGGAGACTGAAACCTAGAGGGGTTTAATAACCTGCCCATAGTCACAAGGCTAGTAAATGAAGGAGCTGAGGCTGAATTCAAGAAGGCAATTTTGAAAAGACCTAAAGGGCTACAATGATGGGAGAGAGAATTCCAAATGGAAGGTCAGGTACAAGGGGTGCCCTTGGTGGGAAGGAACACCCCAGGTGGGAGGGGATGCCCCTCACGGAGGGAATGGACAAGGATGGCCCATCAGCAAGGGAGCAGGATGAACGGGCCAGGGCCACTCCAGAAACAAGTGAAGGCTCAGGAGACTCTAGTGCTGAGAAGTGGGGCCAGAGGAGGGGTACTAGGGGGTTGGCCTGGGCCCAAGTGTGTGAGGCATGAGCACAGGCTGTTCATCTGTCCCTGCCTTCACAAGACTTTCCTGAAAGGTTAATTCACTTAGGTAGATGCCTAGAACTCCAGCCTGTGGAAGAAAGTGGGGTCCCATTCCAATGTGAGCTCATGATACATGGAGGAATTAGGCAGTTCTCCATCCGAGCTGTGCTGCCCCCTGGGAGGGGCTGAGGGGATGCAGACTGGGTCACTGGAGTTGTACAAATACAGACAGAAAACACAGCAAAGTTGCAAAGAGCCAGGCTCTGAGTGGACACACCTGGGTTCCAATCCTCACCTGTATTGGCTGTGTAACTTTGGATAATTTATTTAACTTCTCTGATCCTGTTTCCCCTTTGTAAAATGGATAAAAACATTCATCCCAGAGTAGCAGTGCGAATCTAATATGAATACATGTTCTGTGCTCAACACAGGCCCTGAGTGAATAAGACCCCAGCCAATGGGAGCAATTCATACACTCAACTTGCTCACCAAGCTGTTTGTTCTCCCCCAGGCCTAGAGATGGGTTCAGCATCTCACAGCCATCCACAGGGATGGCTGCTGAGCCCTTCTCAAAAACCCAAAGTTGCAAGCACAGTAAAGGGTGACCTCTTGCATGTGTGGAATTATAATAGTGCAGAATAGTAAGCCTGTTTTGGGCTCACACTGTGGGCCTGAGCTGCTGGCAGATTCAGCCTTCCTGCAGCTGAACCACAAGCCCTAATCTCTGAGTAGAAGCCACTGCTCTCCTAGGCCTGTCCCTTTACTGCTGGTAGGTGGCTGTTTTCAGGGCATTTTTTAAAAATGAAAGAATCTTTTCATAATTCCATGAGCGAAAAGCTGTGTTGAGTGTGACCAGAGCCCACAGCTCTGAGTGGAGATAAAGAGTGGTAGGTTCTGCCCCCACCCCCCAAGCCACACAATTCAATCGGCCTCTGCTAGGTGACATCCACACCAGGGTCCATGGTGGGTGGGGTGGGTCACCAGGAGTACTCTGACCTCCACTACAGAAAGCCTACTGCAGGGCTGCTGACGGAAGTGGATGAGGTGGCCAGGCCTGCAGTCCTGGGCCTGTGCTCCCTGCATGTATTAGTCTGTTTTCACACTGCTGATAAACACATACCTGAGACTGGGAAGAAAAAGAGGTTTAATGGGACTTACATTTCCACATGGCTGGGGAGGCCTCAGAATCATGGTAGGAGTTGAAACGCACTTCCTACTTTGGTGGTGGCAAGAGAAAATGAGGAAAATACAAAAGCAGAAACCCCTGATAAAACCATCAGATCTTGTGAGACTCATTCACTATAACGAGAACATAGTGGGGGAAACCGCCCCCATGATTCAAATTATCTCCCACCAGATCTCTCCCACAACATGTGGAAATTCTGGGAGTATAATGTAAGATCAGACTTGGGTGGGGACACAGAGCCGAACCATATCATTTTACCCCTGGCCCCTCCAAATCTCATGTCCTCACATTTCAAAACCAATCACACTTTCCCAACAGTCCCCCAAAGTCTTAACTCATTTCAGCATTAACCCAAAAGTGCACAGTCTAAAGTCTCATCTGAGACAATGCAAGTCCCTATGAGCCTGTAAAATCAAAAGCAAGCTAGTCACTTCCTAGATACAATGGGGGTACAGGTATTGGGTAAATACAGCCATTCCAAATGGGAGAAACTGGACAAAACAAAGGGGTTACAGGGCCCATGCAAGTCTGAAATCCAGTGGGGCAGTCAAATATTAAGGCTCCAAAATGATCTCCTTTGACTCCAGGTCTCACATCCAGGTCATGCTGATGCAACAGATGGGTTCCCATGGTCTTGGGCAGCTCCGCCCCTGTGGTTTTGCAAGGTACAGCCTCCCTCCCAGCTGCTTTCACAGGCTGGCACTGAGGGTCTGTAGCTTTTCCAGGCGAACAGTGCAAGCTGTCGGTGGATCCACCATTCTGGGGTCTGGAAGACTTTGGCCCTCTTCTCACAGCTCCACTAAGCAGTGCTCCAGTAGGGACTCTGTGTGGGAGCTCCAACCCCACATTTCCCTGCAGCACTGCCCTAGCAGAGGTTCTCCACGAACATCCCGCCCCTGCACCAAACTTCTGACTGGACATTCAGGCATTTCCATACATCTTCTGAAATCTAGACAGAGGTTCCCAAACCCCAAGTCTTGACTTCTGTGCATTCGCTGGCTCAACACCACGTGGAAGCTGACAAGGCTTGGGGCTTGCACCCTCTGAAGCCACGGCCTGAGCTGTACATTGGTCCCTTTCAGCCATGGCTGGAGCAGCTGGGATGCAGGGTACCAAGTCACTAGGCTGCACACAGCTCAGGGACCCTGGGCCAGGCCAACAAAACCATTTTCTCTTAGGCCTCTGGGCCTACGATGGGAGGGGCTGCCGTGAAGCTCTCTGACATTCCCTGGAGACATTCTTCTATTGTCTTGGGGATTAACATTCGGCTCCTCATTACTCAAGCAAATTTCTGCAGTTGGCAAGAATTTCTCCTCAAAAATTGGGTTTTTATTTTCTATCACATTGTTAGGCTGCGAATTTTCCAAACTTTAATGCTCTGCTTCCTTTATAAAACTGAATGCCTTTAATGGCACCCAAGTCACCTCTTAAACGCTTTGCTGCTTAGAAATTTCTTCCGCCAGATACCCTAAATAATTTCTCTCAAGTTCAAAGTTCCACAAATCTCTAGGGCGGGGTAAAATGCTGCCAGTCTCTTTGCTAAAACATAACAAGAGTCACCTTTGCTACAGTTTCCAACAAGTTCCTCATCTCCATCTGAGACCATCTCAGCCTGGACCTTATTGTCCATATCACTATCAGACTTTTGGTCAAAGTTATTCAAAATGTCTCTAGGAAGTTCCAAACTTCCCCACATTTTCCTGTCTTCTTCTGAGCCCTCCAAACTTCCAATATCTGCCTGTTACCCAGTTCCAATGTCGCTTCCACAGTTTCAGGTATCTTTTCAGCAATGCCCCACTCTACTGGTACCTATTTACTGTATTAGTTCCTTTTCACACTGCTGATAAAGACATACTCCAGACTAGGAAGAAAAAGAGGTTTAATTGGACTTACAGCTCCACATGGCTGGGGAGGCCTCAGAATCACGGTGAGAGGTGAAAGGCACTTCTTACGTGGTGGCTGCAAGAGAGAATAAGGAAGATGCAAAAGTGGGAAACCCCTGATAAAACCATCAGATCTCATGAGGCTCATTCACTACCACGAGAACAGTATGGGGGAACCACCCCCATGATTCAAATTATCTCCCACCGGGTCCCTCCCACAACATGCGGGAATTATGAGAGTACAATTCAAGATGAGATTTGGGTGAGGACACAGACAAACCATATCACTGCACCTGCCCCATCTCCACCAGACAGACCTGACACAGGGCCAAACACACCCACACCAGCATTCATGGGCAGGATCAGAGGCTCAGGCTGCTGAGAAGAGGGTCTAGGATGCATGAGGGCATTTAGGAAGCAGCTCATCCCTGAGTGGTGTCCCTCCTACAACCCATGGGGCCACATCCCTGGGGAACTGCTACCAGCTCGCAGTGCAGGACAGGTGAGTGTGGGCTCACAGGTAAACCCTTCTGAGGGGCAGACCTCCTTGCACACAGGGACCTGGGGCTGCTCATATGCTGAGGAGTGGAGTGAAGCCTCTTCAACAGTGAGACCATCAAGGGACAGACCTCCACACATGCAGGGACCCCAGCTGCTCACCTCCTGAGGAGTGGAGTGGGGCTACATCAACATACCATTTATCTCAATCACCTCTCTCTGATGTCTGCTGCTCCTGTCCATGCAGACACACAGTGTCACCTTCCAGGCAAACTATCCCACCTCTGGCAAAGAAGCATATTCATGCAAAGTTTTTAAACAAAACAAACCCACCTGAGGTGGTACAGGATTTAATACTCAGCACCAATCACTCGTGTGCCACCGCATAGCCAGTTGACTGGCACCAGTGGGCCTCACACAGGACCTCATGCATATGCGTACCATCTATCCTATCTCAGAAGTCAAGGCAAAAAGAGAGATCTGACATCACAGAACTAACTGATTTGTAATCCAGCTTTTGACAAGCGTACTGATGTGATAAGACAGAAAATAAATGCACCCACTCAGCAGGCGGGCTTTTAGGAGGAGCAGAGAAATTCCCACAGTGCTCTGACAGCCCTCGAGACAAAGGCTAAACAAACACCCTCCCGTGAGTGCAGAAGGGATGAGCTGCCAGCCAGGCAAGCCAGGCACACCTCCCAGGCTGAAGGTGGAGTGCAAGCTCTTGGCCCTGCGGGTATCCACAGCTCACCATGAGTGAAACTGCTGTGAGGTCTTCATTCCACACGTGAAGCTCAGGCACGTTTTCCAAGAAAGATTGTCCAACTTTCATTGTACACAAAGAGCCCCGGCACAGAGATGTCCTGGAACCTCTGGCACAGTGCCAGGCCTGTTCTCATCACAGGTCCCAGCTTCTCCCACAACATCCTGCCCACCAGAGGGGCCCCAGAGATTGGGCAGCTGGTGTGAACTCAAGAAAAGCCAGGAAATGCATAAGAGCAGCCAATCAAACCACAGAATTAGAAGAAGCGCTGTGAAAGCCCTTCAAACATCAGCAGCGGGGACCTTAAATTTTGTAAGATAAAGGATCTTTTCCAATTTTGATTAATCAACAAACAGCTAATAAGCTGTGGTTGAAGGCCTCCAGGATGTACAACTGCCTCACCCCAAATCCAGATAGGGGTCACAGTCTCTGTGTACACTGGAGCCAGGAACAATCCCAGTGCTGAGTCGTAGGTAAGATCAATGACGGAGACCACCCCCATAGGGCAGATTTGCATCACTGAAAGCCAGTGTTAGTGGGGCATGGTGGGGTGCGCCTGTAATCCCGGCTACTCGGGAGGCTGAGACAGGACACACACAAGCTGCGGTTCACTTACACAATGGAATACTAAGCCTCCATCAAAAGTAAGGTCTACTGATACATACAACACAGGATCACTCAAGCCCAGGTGGTCGAGGCTGCCGTGAGCCATGATTGCATCACTGCACTCCAGCCTGGGCAACAGAACAAGACCCCATCTCATAAATAAAGCCGTCATCCTAAGTGGCTAAAGGTCATGAGCATGAGTTTCCGTGTGAGTAGTCAAAACAGCAAGCGTGTTATGTGCTGAATGTGGCCACCAGAGAACATGGGCTAGAACATCTGCTGGGAACAGCCCCCACCTCCATCAGCAGGACACACACAAGCTGCGGTTCACTTACACAATGGAATACTAAGCCTCTATCAAAAATGAGGTCTACAGATACATACAACACAGATGGATCGTGAAGACATGACATTGAACTAGAGAAGACAGAAAGTGCTCAGCCTAATAATAAACTGGTCTTTGGCAATAGAGACCCTGATAGTGGTTACCTTGGGAGTAGGTACTCACTAGAAAAGGGCATAAAGGAACCTTCCTGGATGCCAGAATGTTCCACATCTTGATCAACAAGCTGTACACTTAAGATGAGTGTACTTCACTGTAATACACGCATTCACTGAACACAGCAGACACTGTCACTGGGCTAAGGGGGTCTGGGACAGCTTCCTGAACAGGCAGTGAATTGAGCCCTGAGGCAGGGATGCAGAGCTGAACTTCCACTGGCAAGAGCAGGAAAGGTTCAGCTTGCTGGGAGGTCACAGAATGGGTGGGGTGGGGGTGGGGGGGAGGGAGGTGACAGACACCTGCAAATAGAACTTTCCTCATTAAAGTGGTATGTTGGATACTGTGATTTTCCCCTGATATCCATTTCTCCCCTTTTTAAAAATTGACTATCTCCATCTTCTTCAATTTTAGCAAGGTCTATCCCACAGCCTCCCTTGCAGCTAGATGTTACCACCAAAGCAAGCTCTGGTCAATGAACGTAAGTGGAAATGATGATCTACCCATTATCCACCACCCCACCTTGCCCACTGCCTGTTGGCCTAGGATTAGCAAGCAGTGGAATGCTTGGCTCTGGGTGGGAAGCCGTGGGTTAGGGATGGCAGAGTGGCCCTGTCAGCCCTGGACCATTCTTTCAGCCTGGACAGTGAGTGTGTTTGGAGCTTTCAGCTGCTTCATTTTAGTTGTGCTGTATCCAAAACTTTAGTAACTGAAACCAAGTGTGTTCTCAATTTCCCCATGGATATGACTCTGGAAGGAAAAGATGTAAGGAGAACAGATGGAACATTGTAGAACCTTCAATGTGCAGGGCAGCAAAGTCTGTAATGACTCAAGTTCTAAATAGCACAGCTATCTGGTGGTAACAAGGTGGGATTTGTATTAAGACTGCATTTATGCAGCAAGCATAAATGTAACCATATGATTCAGTTGATCATGTAAATGAGGGTCCGATATCCCCATGAGCCATCTTGTGCCTAAGTAGCAGGCCAATAATATTGTCTGATTCTCTCAGAGGGCCATTTATCAGTTTTTCAATTTCTTATAGCTATGCTTCTCTTTTCATGGGAAGCACAGACAGGGAACCCCAGGAGTTCACCTGTTTCTATGGGCAGTAGGAAGAAAGATGGCTTAATAGTGCCAATAACACAATTACCTGCCTACTGGCCAGGTAATTTGGTGCAAGCTCCATGCCTACATATCCAGTATAATCCAGTGGGGGCTGTCCAGTCCTGGTTGGACTCCGGGTGGGTCCACACGGTTTGCAAGTTTGGGAATTTACTAAATGGATTTCTCTCTGTGTGATTTGAACTCCATCAAGTGACTGTTTTTGTGGTACCATTATACAGTTTCTGTCTCAGATAACTAAGTTGTCCTATGGGGTGAGTGAATTCTTTTCCTTCTCTAGCTATGCAATATTGTCCAATAATTGAGGCTTTTAGGACCTAGAAATTATCAGGGTGATTCTTTTGAGTCAGGAATTCATTAGGAACTGGGTCTGTAGTTACTAATTCTCGGGCTTCCCATGGCCATTGATCTCCCATTACAATTCCTCCACATACATAACATGAAGTGACATTCAGAGACTGGGCTACATGCTAGGCTAATTGTAAAAACAAATTTCTTGTTTTTCTTGGAATTTCTACTGGCACATTTAGTTCATCATAGAAAGTCTGAAACACTGGCTCAGGAGAGCGTTTGTAAACTCTCCTTGAACCAAGATATTTACTCGAGGATCCAGTCCAGCCCCGTCAATTCCTAAGGTCACACACTCCTCTTTTTTCCAGCGAAGATCGGGGGGATTGGTTATTACTAGCTCTAAGGGGTTACATTGTCTCTTAGTACAGGAAGAATTCCTAAGGTCACACACTCCTCTTTTTTCCAGCAAAGATCGGGGGATTGGTTATTACTAGCTCTAAGGGGTTACATTGTCTCTTAGTACAGGAAGGGCCATTTTTTCCTTTCTGAAAGTGGACTGGATCCTTTTCATTTTTTTTTTTTTTTAAATCTAAGTGGCCTAGATGACACAAGACCAATATTTACATTTATTTCCACACAGTCTTAATTTATGACAGATGTACTTATTTTCTGCCGTGTAGCCTCTTTTCCAATTAAGAGAACCACACCTGATTCCTAACATAATACTATTAATGACAGCACAGGCATCAAATTTTAACGTGACTTGTTTGGGCACCCCTTTTTCTTCTGTTTTGGCTAACACTTTACTTGTATCGTTTATGAGCCCCCACCAGTCCTCAGTCCTTAATCTTATTTTTAAAAATGTGGTCATGGAAGGCTCAGATGGAGAATAACACACATCAGGTTGGTCATTTCCTGGGCTACATACCTTGTATAGAATAACATTATACAAACAAGTTCTTTTTAAAGAGTTCCGGTACACTTATAATAACCATAAAACAATAGGACTGTAGCAACCTCTTGTCCTACTTCAGTGACTTGATGTATATACTGGGAACAGTCCTCAGTCTAGGAAGGTCAGTTGAAGTCCTTACTGTAAAAGTCCAAATTTTAAGGAAAATGAGTCCTGCGATGAGTTTCCTTATGCTTTGGCCGTGCATGGACCAATCAGCTTCCGAGTGTGACTGGAGTAGGGCTTGTCGTCAAAGCTGCTCCCATCCACGTACCGCTCAGTCTACTGATGTTTAAGGATGGTCTTGGAGGTTGGGCCTGCTAGAAAAAACTGAGTCCAATACCTCTACACAGTTATATTTAACTGGGCTCTCAGATACCAGGAGCAAGGTGGTGGGGTTTAGGGTGTTGCAAACTTCAATGGCTATGTGGGGATTTTCACATAGCAAGCTCTGGTACTTGGTTAATCTAGTATTTGTTAACCAATGATGTCTTTTGGTAGTCATTAAGTTACCACAGCATAGGGGCCCTTTATATTCAGGTTTTGCCTGAGGGTTACTTTATCTGCTTCTTGTGCTAACAGGGCTGTTGCTGCTAGGGCCCTTACACCTGGGGACCAGGCTTTGGAAATCCTGTCCAGTTGTTTTGAGAGATAGACCACTGGCCTTGGCCAGGGCCCCACACTCTGGGTTAAAACTCCAACTGCCATTTTTTCTCTTTCTGACACACAGAGTGTAAAGAGTTTTGTCAGGTCAGGTAGCTTCAGGGCTGGGACTGACATGAGTTTTTCTTTTAACTCATGAAAAGCTCGTTGCTGTTGGTTGTAATAGATGTAGTTTATCTAATCTACATTTTTATTAACTGTTACCTACTAAAATACTGACTCAAATACTGTAGCTATTTGATTTCAAGCTTTAAATTGATCTAGTATTCCTCGTGGGACTTCATTTGTGTCTAAATAGACATGAGAGTTGAAAGCCCCATAAGGGGCTTCTCTCGCTTTCCAATGTCTTATTTTTTTTCCTTCTGGTTGATGAAATGCCAGGGTGAAAGGGATAGCCAAGTGGACTAAAGTGCAAGGGCCACTCCAGTTATTCGGCAGAGTGCCCAGTAAAGGTCCACCACAATACCACCACACATCTGCTTGGGGATGAACAAGGGCTGACTGATTGATAAGCTCTTGAAAATTCTTATGCTCACTGCATCCTTTCAGGTCTCCAAGGAACTCTAAGTTTTCTCCCTGTTGTGAGAGACATGAAGTGAACTTAGTTTTGGGAGATGGAAGCTGGATGGCCCTCAGGGGCTGACTCACATGGTGCTGGACTTCGGGACATAGCAGAGAGAGCTTGGCATGACTTATTACTCCAGGCTGTAGAATCCTGGAAAAGAGCTACCATGCAGCCCACACCTGGTCAACTGGAGGACCACCTTAGTGGAAAGGGGACAATCTGGGCCTCTGGCCTGCCATGTGCACAAGCATAACAATTGCTTTTGTTACGTGCAGATGGAATATTTGATCTATTTTAACCAGGCATTTGCATCTTGGTATCCTGTCTTAATTGCTAAAGTTTGTTTTAAGTCTTTAAATTCTATGATCCTCTAGTAAAATGAATGTATGGTTTTAGGAAATCACAAAAACTGGTTGGGGCAGTCCATCCTTGCTCTTTAGTGGTCCACAGAACGTTGGGCCAACTGTGGCATGAAAGCTTTACATCGGGGGGCAACACTCCTGGTTGGCACAGGGGTCTTTATCGAAATCTCCCTGGATTAAATGGTCCCAGTTTACTAATGCCCAGTCTGAGGAGAGTCAGGAGGGACAGAAGTACTTTTCTGAAGTAGAAAGCTGTCTTTGACTTGGCAAGTCCTCACAGGGTATAACAAAGCAAGCATTAAATGCAAGAGTTAGAGGTGAAATTGACTTGGTTATGTTAATAACTAGATGGTCAGCAATAGAACGAGGAAAGAAAAAAGTGTAATAGAATAGATGAAAAGAGTTAAATTTTTCTTAGCTTTAATTTGGTAGGGTTTTCCACTGGTACTATGGTCCATGACTCTGGAGGTCATGGCGCTTTCTTGACTCGGGTGTGATGAATCCGTCCTTTTTTTTTTTCCTTAGGATTCTTCTGAACTAGTGACGTGTGCTCACAATGAGGTTTCCTCTAAGAGTTTGTTTTTTTTTTTTACTTTTTTTTGTTAGCAAAGCAGTTGCTGCTACAGATTGAATGTACTTGGGCCATCTGTTGGTTAACGGGTTAAGGATTTTTGATAGGAAGGCCTCAGTGCTTTCAGGATAAGTCCTTGTTTACACTGACAACAAACTGGTACTGGAGTGTTATAAGGTTATGGAGAATACCTTCAATTATCAATTATAGGTTTTAAATTTACCTTAGCTTTTAAAGGAATAGGGTACACTTTCTTTTTAACTACTTGTATATCTCTCTCTTTGACTTTCCTTTTGCCTCTATCTGTTCTCGCTCTCTGCCTCTTTCTTCCTCTCTCTCTGACTCCCTCTTTGTCTGTCTCTTCCTTTCTGTCTCTTCCTCTCTCTTTGCCTTTTTTCCTCTCTGTCTTTTTGTTTTCCTCTCTCTGCTGGTCTTTCCTTGCCTCTGCCAGCCGCTTATGCTGCTGTTCTCTCAACCACTGTGTGTTGGGGGCAGGGGATCTAAAACCAGCTGTAACCAAGTGTCTATGTACAGCAACTGCTCTGGGTTCCCTGGCTTACAGGTTACCTTGTGCCATACCTTTGAAACAAAGGACCTCTCCAGGCTTCCTTACAATGGCCAACCTATTTCTAATGCTGGCCAGTCTATCTTACACAAAGTTTTAAGTTTTCCTAGAGTCATAGTACTCCATAGACTCCTTTAAATTCTTTCTTGACATTTTTCAATATAGTTCCTAGTAGCGTGGGCTTATTTGTGCCTGACCTATGCTTCTTTGAGACAAAACACCACGCTCACACCACACACACACCACAAAACAAAGAATGGGTAAAAAGGGCACACACACACTTTTGCAGTTTGCGCCAAACTAAAACCAAAACCAAAATCAGAGTATCCAGAAATCCAAGCCAGGTCAAAACCAAAACCAAAGTATCAAGCAATCAAAGTCAAGTCAAAAACAAAAACCAAAGTGCCAGTACAGGCACACGAAGGGTGATCAGGCCATGCTTCCACTAGAATGGAGTGGGCAAGTTCCCAAGACCAATCCTGTCAAGCAATTCAAACCAAGTCAAAACCAAAACCAAAGTGTCAATAAAGGCACGCCATGGGTGATCAGGCCATGCTTCCACTCAAACAGAGGGGGCAAGTTTCAAAGACTAGTCTTACCAAGTTTTAGATGTCCAGCCTCCAAGTGCCCGTTCCTTCCCGGTGTTCAGCTCCTGCGTTTTCTCCATGGGGGCCTGCCACACACTGCTCTGGCGAGGTGTCCCACCGGGGCAAATGCCTACTTGGGAGCGCTCTCAGGATCCATGTCACTCGGGCTGGTCGGAGTCCCCCACGGGGATGTTCCACAAGTCTCAGACAAAACTCCTCAGACACCGAGTTAAAGAAGGAAGGGGTTTATTTGGCTGGGCACATTGGCAAGACTCCTGTCTCAAGAGGCGAGCTCCCCAAGTGAGCAATTCCTGTCCCTCTTAAGGGCTCATGACTCTAAGGGGGTGCACATGACAGGGTCGTGATCGATTGAGCAAGCAGGGGATACGTGACTGGGGGCTGTATGCACTGGTAATTAATTTGGAGCAAAATAGGATAGGAATTTTCACAGTGCTTTTCTATACAATGTCTGTAATCTATAGATAACATAACTGATTAGGTCAGGGGTCGATCTTTTGACTACCAGGCCCAGGGTGTGGCGTTCGGCTGTCTGCTTGTGGATTTCATTTCTGCCTTTTCGCTTTTACTTCTTCTTTCTTTGGAAGCAGAAACTGGGCATAAGACAATATGAGGGGTGATCTCCTCCCTTAAAAGGGTAAAGTCAAGCTGGGAACTATGTCAGACAAACCTGCCTCCCATTCTATTCCTAAATAAGATATAGCTACCAAGATAAGAGGCTACATACCTCCCTTAAAATTTGCATACAAGGAAATTCCTTGTGGAAAAAGGACGGACAGAACTCAAAAGTTATCCCTCTAAGGTGCACCTGAGACAAATGCATATCTGATTTTTTCCCCTCCCCTACTGTTTATGTAAAAATGATGATTCACTGAGCCAGACTAAATTGTGTATTCAGTGGAAGGCTGATTAAGGATTCAAAAGAATGCAATCTTTTGCCTCTTATCTACTCATGACCTGGAAGCCCTTGCCTCAAGTTCAGCTTTACCTGACTAAAGTACATATTACACATACTGATTGATGTCTCATGTCTCCCTAACATGTACAAAAGCAAACTGTACCCTTACCACCTAGGGCACATGTTGTCAGGGCCTTCTGAGACTGCCATGGGCGCAACCTTAACCTTGGTGAAATAAACTTTCTAAACTGATGGATGCCGGATGCGGTGGCTCATGCCTATAATCCCAGCACTTTGGGAAGCTGAGGCGGGCAGATCACCTGAGGTCGGGAATTCGAGACAAGCCTGGCCAACATGGCGAAACCCTGTCTCTACCAAAGATACAAAAATTAGCTGGGTGTGGTGGCACACACCTATAACTCCAGCTGCTCAGGAGGCTGAGGCAAGAGGATCACTTGCCCGGGAGGCAGAGGTTGCAGCCACTGCACTCCAGCCTGGGTGACAGAGCAAGATGCCATCTCAAAAAAGAAAAAAAAAAATGGATGGAGAGTTGAGATAACTTTTGGTTCACAATATAAATGTTTATTTAAAAACAGACATTATTTTATGTACCATTACAAATATACTACTACTCAACTGCTCGTGAGGCTGAGGCAGGCGAATGCTTGAACCGGGGAGGCGGAGGCTGCAGTGAGCCGAGATCGCGCCATTGTTCTCTAGCCTGGGCGACAGAGCGAGACTCCATCTCAAATAAAACAAAAAGAAAACAAATATACTGCCAATTAAACTGTGATTTTGTCAAAAATAAATGTTGTTGATGACTTTACTTCCATTAAAGCCACTGTAGTAGCCAATGGAAAGCTTCCTTTTTGTCCTCTGAAGGTTCACTGAAAAGTCAACTGACAAAAGGCAGATTAATTGGAGAAAGGGCATACAAATTTATTAACATGCACATGGGGGGAGAACTAGAGTGATTTTGCTGAAGCCCCAAATGGGGTTCAGAAGCTTATATACCATCTTGAGGTTACAGAATGGGGGTTTGGATTGTGGCATAACAGGTTATGGGAGTGGGAGACCTGGCTGACAACCAGGGTCTTGTTTTGTAAATGAGACCTCACAGGTAGAAGTCCTCAGAGAGAACAGCTGGTGCATGTTTCTTTCAGACCTCTGCAAACCAACAGTAAAATTCGAAACCCTCCAACCTACTGATGGACCCTCTGCTTGCCCAAGGGCATTCTTAAGTTAACCTGAAAAACCAGTTCAGGCAATGACGGGTGGGGGTTGGCCATGCCTCATAATACACGCCTCCCTTGGAATTCAGGCACAGCAAGCCAGCATTAACGTTAAAACAGAGACCTTAAGACTGACAGAAAAGACTCTTTTGCAGAGGCTTCTTCATTACCTTCAGGGCACACAGGATTCTCGCTTTCCACTGTACGGTCCTCACTTTACCTGTTCAACCTTCATTTATCTTTCACTGCCTACTCCTGGGTAACACTTGGCCAGCGCACAGGTTTCCCACATCCTGAGGACACCAGCAGGCAAGGTTTGAGTGAGGGCTCTGCCTGGCTGGCGGTCAGCCGCAGGCCCACAGCAGGACATGAGCAGAGGTGAGGGGGGCGCCGTCACCAGCTGCGACTCTTCTAAAGACCAGAACCATCCCTGAGCACCCGGAGGAACCAGGTAAGCGGCTCGGAAGCAGAGGCGCCAGGGGCGGAGCCAACGCTGGGAGGTTTCCTTGCCCCGCTCCCTCGCTTGGGTCCTGCAGCCGCTCTCGTTAGACGCGTTCCCGCCTCCTGCCCTCCGGAAAGTGCCCGCCTCTTGCCTTCCGGCCCCGCGCCCGACTTCCGCCTACCGGCCCGGCTGTGGGCTGCGCCCCACGCCCCTCACGCCAGCCCCGCCCCTCACGCCAGCTCGCGCCCCGCATGGCTGCTGCAGGGGCCAGACCTGTAGAGCTGGGCTTCGCCGAGTCAGCGCCGGCGTGGCGACTGCGCAGCGAGCAGTTCCCCAGCAAGGTGGGCGGGCGGCCGGCATGGCTGGGCGCGGCCGGGTTGCCCGGGCCCCGGGCCCTGGCTTGCGCGCTGTGCAGCCGCCCGCTCTCCTTCCTGCTGCAGGTGTACGCGCCGCTGCCCGACCGCGCGGACGCCTTCCACCGTGGCATCTTCCTCTTCTGCTGCCGCGAGCCGCCGTGCTGTGCCGGCCTGCGAGGTGAGCCGCCAGACGGGGCCGAGACAGGGCCATGCCTCCCACGCGTGCGCGTTAATTCCGGGAGCCAGGAGGGAGACGGCGGAAAGCACCGCTGCCGCCCCATCCTCGAGCTCCCTCCCCCGCGCTTCCCCAGGAGCACCTTCTCCCGGGCCCTTCCAGGATGTCCTCATTTTTACTACACAAGCTTCTAACTGCCCATGCGCATGGGTAGCCCCCAGCTTTTAATCACTGGGTGCTAGGTATGGTGCTATTCAGATAATAGAAATTGTCTTGGAAAGATGGGTCCCAGTAGCTTTTTCGTATTTTTGGCAGTCGTTCTTAACGATCAGTCTTACTAATTTGATTAACTCAGACTAGCTCCAGGAGGCAACTCAATTGCGTGTACCAGATGAAATCTAGTTTCGGGATTTTAAAAGCTTATTCCTGAAAGCAAAAACTTTCATTTTTTAAAAAAGTATTTTCAGTTTTATGTGTAGAGGATGAAATATTTGAATTGCTGTTTTGTTTGAAGATACAACTTTTCTCTGCATTCTCTTTTAGTTTTTAGGAATCAGCTACCCAGGAAAAACGATTTTTACTCATATGAGCCACCTTCTGAGAATCCTCCCCCAGAAACAGGAGAATCAGTGTGTCTCCAGCTTAAGTCTGGTGCTCATCTCTGCAGGGTTTGTGGCTGTTTAGGCCCCAAAACGTGCTCCAGATGCCACAAAGCATATTACTGCAGCAAGGAGCATCAGACCCTAGACTGGAGATTGGGACATAAGCAGACTTGTGCACAACCAGGTGAGTAATCTTTTTTAAAAAATCTCAGTTCAGTTTCATCGCCTTTGTCAACCCAGATATTTCCAGGATAACTTTAAAGTTAAAATTAGGGAAGGTATAGTACTTCAAAATTTTTCATACCTGGAACACCTTTGTAAAAAAGAGGCTGTAAAGTCTGAATCACTGAGTAATGTCACCATATAGGCATTTAATTTATGACCCTTTATCTAAAATGCCAGAACTATAGGGAATATAGTACTTTAGAGACAGCCAATTATTAAACTGTCTTCAAAACTAAATGATTACTAATAGTGCTGTCCCTTTCGTTTCAGATCATTTCGACCATATAATTCCAGACCACAACTTCCTTTTTCCAGAATTTGAAATTGTAATAGAAACAGAAGAGGAGATTATGCCTGAGGTTGTGGAAAAGGAAGATTACTCAGAGATTACAGGGAGCATGGGTAAGCAGTTTGAGGACTTCATCCATTAAGTGGTTAAACATAATGCTTGGAAGAAAGCTTAGTGTGTCTAGAAGAGAGGTACCTCAGCTGAAAATACACTTCCCGGACTGTGTTTTCTGACACCTATGAGGTGTGTTCCGCTCCCTGTAAAGACAAGGGTGGGTATCCAGATGGTCGCATGAATAGGGCTGCACAAGACGCTGGAAGCTTGGTAAGTTCCTCTGGGTCCCAGATCTGTTTCTCAGGTTGGGATAGTGTGAGTGCCTAGCACAGTGTCGGGCATGCAGCAGGGCCCCTTAAAAGTTTCTCTTTCATCTGGCCAGTTTTAGATACACAATTTTGTCAGTTTACTTACAGTGCATACTCAGGTAGTACTTGTGCTGACCAAGTATCTTAGAGGTTTATTTTATTATAGTAGCCAACATTTATCCAGCACTTACCTTACATACTGTTTGTGCATGAGCTCATTAAAATCCTGACAGCAGACCAGTAAGTCAGAAACTGCCCCATTTTGAAGGTGAGGAAATTGAGGTTCTGGGTATAACTTGCTTTGGTCACATAATGTTAAATTTTACAATTTGAGCCTTGAGCCATACATAAAACCACCACAAAATTAGATTTACAGACTCAAAATGAAAACATTAGCTTACTGGTTTGTAGTTAATACCAGTCCTACATTCCAAAACATGTTTGAGTCTTACTCTGTGCCTGACTTTGTGCTTGATAATAGGGATATAATGGGAAGCAACACTCCACTGGTCAGATGCTCACAGTCTCATGGAGGATCCCAAATAATACTTGGGGAAGTTACATTCCATGTAATGACTGATAAGAGTATAATACTGGTGCCATCAGAACACATGTGACATCACTGAAGACTGCCTGGAAGGGACCACACGTGTGTTCATACCTGTACGATAAAAACGATCATGAAAATGCTTACCTTTAGGAGAAGGCAGAGCCTAGAGTAGGAGGATCAAGGATGAAAGCTGGACTTCAAATATGCCTTATTAGTATAAATGTGACTGTGGAACTGTGTATTTTAAGATTATGAAGTAAGGTAAGTTAAAAAGCAGTCCCTAATCATCACAAGTAAAAAACTCTTGCTGTAGTCATATAACCACACTAAGAACTCTTCTAGGTGACTTCAACACATAGGACAGTACATCTCTAGTGGAATATACCCTGAGAATGAAAAGAACGTAACAGTGTTAGTATTTTCAATAAACATGTTATTAATAAACTGTTGCTGTTATTTTGAGATGGTTGTGTGTATATTGGGGGGATAAAGGAAATGAGTAATTATGTTGGTGTTACTGAAAACTGAGGTGCCGGGCGTAGGAGGAAGATAATGTTGATTGTGTCTATGTACCATTTCTCTCTAAAAGGAACTCCAGGCTCTTTGGAGAGGTGGTTGGTTCCAGAACTGGGTCAGGAAATGTTCATATAATGTGGGAAGGGAATGTGGTCATATCAAAGATTAAGGATGCCAGGAAGGATTACTAGGGCCATGTCAGAACTCAAGCAACATGAAAAGGCTCCTGCTGGCAAAAGATGGACAGTTTGAACATCCACAAGGACACTAACTGCAGCAGATAATGTTTAACGGGTTCAAAGTGATACTTTTAAAAAACTCTGCATCAGATAATGTTTAACGGGTTCAAAGTGATACTTTAAAAAAACTCAGTAATCATCTTTGTAGGATACTTAGGAACAGACTCATTTTCAAATTGGTAAATAAAAGGAAAGAGTTTGAGTTCTAGGGGTACATAACTTAATTATGAATAAAGTGATATGTGTGGGATTTACTTCAGAGTAATGATGGAAGTGGCAGAGAAAGGAAACACTGGACTTGATAAGTGTTGAAGCTGATTAATTGTACATGGCGGTTCATTATAGTATTTCCACTTTTGTGTATGTTCAAAATGTTCCAAAATAAAAGGAGAATTAAAAAGAAAAATGCTTCCTGGAGGTAGCTGTGTTTTACCTGAGACTTGAATTTGAGTTCCCAGATGAAAGAGTTTGGCAGGAGGCAGTAGGGCCTGAGGGAACAGCATTTACAGTGTCCTAATGGTTACACTGAAACTTTCCTCATATAATTGATGGAACATCAATCTGAAGGCATCCTACACTTCCTCCATCAGACCTGATGGTGCAAGTGAACACCATCAGTGTCTTTCCAGTTTCATCAGTTACTTTAGCTTCTCTTACTCAAGGTATATCAGTTCTATTTTAATGTACATTACAAAGACTAATGGTTATACTTAGAGACATGGGTCTGTTGGGGACAGCAGTGGCTCAGGGTGGCTGTAATCCCAGGAAGAAATGTGGAGAAGGAAATGAACATTTTCTTTTTTTTTTAGGACAGAGTCTCACTCTGTCGCCCAGGCTGGAGGGTAGTGGCACCATCTTGGTTCACTGCAACCTCTGCCTCCTGGGTTCAAGCGACTCTCCTGCCTCAGCCTTCCGAGTAGCTGGGATTACAGGCACCTACCACCACGCCTAGCTAGTTTTTATATTTTTAGTAGAGACGGGGTTTCACCATGCTGACCAGGCTGGTCTTGAACTCCTGACCTCAGGTGATGTGCCCACCTCAGCCTCCCAAAGTACTGGGATTACAGGCGTGAGCCACTGCACCAGGCCAGAAATGGGCTGGAAATGAACATTTGATGACTGAGTGAGTGAGCCTACCAGCTGAGGATACTAATGATAAGAAGGGCTCACATTTGTTGGGTGTCCTGTGATGTGCTGGGCAGTCCTAAGCCCTTGACCATTCTGTTGTTTTGAAGCTTTAAGGAAATGCACTAAATGGAAGCCGATATAATAGAGCTGCATGGAGTACCTGGAAATTCAGATGGTCCAACTTGAATGAGTGAATAAATAGAGAAAGCTATTGATTAAAAGGGGGTCCCCTCTCCAGGTGTGAATTGACAAGTTGTGGGGATTACTCCTGTTTTCATAATAGTTACGTTGATTTTTCAGGTGAAGCACTTGAGGAAGAACTGGATTCCATGGCAAAACATGAATCCAGGGAAGATACAATTTTTCAGAAGTTTAAAACTCAGATAGCCCTTGAACCAGAACAGGTAAAGTGGAACTCACAGCTCCTCACTGTGTTCTCTTCAGGCCATGTTTTATGAGTATAATCTGTGAGAAGAAATAACTTCATAGTAACACTAGTCTGTTCCTTAGGAGCCTATAAAAGCAGGCTTTTGTTATCCTGTTAGAGGAGTTTCTCACACAGATGGGCCATGTAGAAAGATGTTTTGCAGTGCTGATCCATTTAATAGTTACTAAAAGACTAAAGGTTTTACTGTTTATCATACAGGGTTCATTTTCTAAAGAAAGCATCAGGGATGGGAGATGAATGAGATGTTGCCTGAGGTACATGAGGTTTAGGCACAAATGGCTCCCCCACAAAAAGAAAAAAGGTGATTTTTGCCCATTTCCAACAGGTACCTTTGGCTTGTAAAACAAACGTGGCATGTTAACATTTTCTCCTTAACCTCCCCTACCATAAACGTAAATCACGAAGGAAAAACCCATAAACCAGTCACTGGTTCAAATAAATACCCAGGGGTTTATAGGAAGAATAGATCTAGGTCTTAAACACTAAGGCAGTTTTTAGCAATGCATATGCTTTTAGACAAAATACAGAAAACTACTCAGTTGCTATAGGAAGCTTATTACAGTGAAATTTTACTTATGTTTGTAGTAGTTTTCAAAACACTGTTTCACTTGGTATTTGTCCCTCCTAAAATTTTTTAACTATGAAGGCAGGCACAGACTCTGGGCAGAACTCTGCAATCAGAGCAGAGGCTCATTCTTAGTCCCTTCACAATACATTCATAGGACTAACATTCCAACATTAGGTAGTAAAAGCATCATCTAGGAAATATATTTTGATGCCCTCTGAGTCAGATAAGCTGAAATAGTCACTTTGGGGTATTGAGAAGGCATTAATGGCACACTGGCACAGCCAGGTCTGATGGAGGAACTGTGACATGCCTTTTGGGTCAGTGCTACATCAAGAGTAGGAACATTCATGGAGTAGATAGCATGTTACCACTGGAAACTTTTAGGTAAGGTATTGATTATTTGAACATGATCCTCATTGATTTTAGATTCTTAGATATGGCAGAGGTATTGCCCCCATCTGGATTTCTGGTGAAAATATTCCTCAAGAAAAGGATATTCCAGATTGCCCCTGTGGTGCCAAGAGAATATTGGAATTCCAGGTACGACCTAAATAAGGACGATTTTAGTGTGTAATCACCATGATTGTTTTAAACATTAAAAACTGCGCCAAGGTAGTTTGTGCACATGGGTCCAATGGCAGTACGGAAGGGTGGCCTATGATGAAAACCGTCAGTTTCCTGCCTCACCTTGGGGCTAGTTCCCTGGAAGGAACTGTCTTGTCTTTTTCTGTTTCCTAGTTTTCAGACACTGTCTGTTGACTGACTTCTGTGAAGATGAGTGTATCTACACTGTCTCACCTCCAGTGTGGTTACGTCATTATTGTTAGTGTCTCTGTTAACTTTTGTTATTTTAAATAATTTATACCTTCCTTGTTCCATTAATTGAAGTCTTTGACTCCATACTTTATGAGAGGAGTCTTTACTGTTTAATCTTGGTTTGTGGATTTGTTAGAACAAATGGATATAAGCATTAAAGATAAATGTGCCCCCCTGCCCAAAAGGATCTGTTAGCATCAAAATACCAAAATCCATTTTGGGTGGAAATGCTCTTGAGCTATGGATTCACTAATGTTCCCAAAGTCATAGCTAGTATTGGTTTGTTTCTTTGGGGAAAAAAGGAATTATGAGGACCATAACCAAAACTCTGCTTGGTTCTTAGTGCCAGAGCTCTCAGGGTCCAAAATGAGGTGACAGGATGGTGGCTATTCTGCCTATTCACTCTTTCAATTAGACTACTTCTAAGATTCTTCTCTGGTCTCTATAACTACATTGACAGATGTCCTTTTTGTATTCATGACTAGTAATTAGTGTTTCTTGAGTCAAGAGTAACAGTATCTGCAATGATACAAAGTAAAAGTTGCCTAAATAGAAGCCTCAGCCCTTTTGAGTGGCATATTAGTAATGAAAATAGTTTATTAACAGCCACTTGTGAACTTCTTTCTCAAATGGAAAACACTAAACAGAAGGTAAGAGGGGCTTTGAAGTCATAAGGAAGTTTTAGATTGTTAAAACATGTTAATTGTATAATGTCTATAATCCTGCTTTGTAGTATGAGGATTGAAAGACCAAGATTCCTATAATCATCCTGGCTGAGAAGGTCTCTTAAAAGTAGTGCTCCCTGCTGTGAAGCGGCTAACTGTGTGTCACCCTCTTCTCAGGTCATGCCTCAGCTCCTAAACTACCTGAAGGCTGACAGACTGGGCAAGAGCATTGACTGGGGCATCCTGGCTGTCTTCACCTGTGCTGAGAGCTGCAGCTTGGGTACTGGCTATACAGAAGAATTTGTGTGGAAGCAGGATGTAACAGATACACCGTAAAGGCATCTTAAAGCCTTGAAAAATGTTAATGCTCTTTTATACCTTGCAATTCCATTTCTGGGATTTTATCCTAAGGAAATACTTATACCAAAAATAAAGGTGCAGAGATGTTGAGAGATTGCTTAGACAGTGTCTACATATTACTGCAACAAAAGTGTCCACTGACAGAGAATTAAATAAATTTTGGTACATCCACCGTGGAAGGCTACACAGTCTTAATTATAACACCTACATTGACAACCAAGATACCATTATAGGTGATATTCGTGGTTTGATCCTATTCTTGTAAAAATATTTGTATGTATGCACAGAAATCTGCAAAGATGTACACTTAGTGCACTGGTTACCAACGAATGGTGGGACTAACTAAAATGATCGTTTTACTTATACGTGCATTTCTTTTTATAATAAAGATGGGTTATGTGCCTAATGAAGTCAAACTGTCTCACTCTGAGAGCACTTCCCACCCTAAGTTTTTTAAAACACAAAGAAAAATACTTAGGTAAAACTCCAACAAACTTGTCTGATCATTAGCTGATTATCACAGGCTCTAGTATGTACTGGAAGCCCAGAACATTAGAAAAATACCAAACCTCAGGTTGGTGAGTATGAGAAACAGGAAACCCAGTAATTCTGAAGCAGCAGTATCACAGTTGGCAGGATCAGGAACAGTGGCTTTGTGATCACAGAACTGGAACTGGAAGAGGTTCTACCTTCAGAACCCATCTTCGTCAGCCAGTGGCCCTGCTTACAGATGAGACACTGAAAGGCAAAAGGCGATGGTCTACCCTTTCCATGTCAGCGTTCTACACATGTTCCCTGTTGCATTTACAAGGCTTATGGAATGTAAGCCAGGATAAGGGTCTGGCCTAGGAGGCAGCAGCCTGAAGAAAGGAAGGCCCTGAAGTCAGTTTTCAAAGGGCTGACCCTTGGCCTATTATGTTTCTGATATATTTGTTTAAGCACCTTGGCCTATTATGTTTCTGATCTATTTGTTTAAGCAAGTGGCTCCGAAGACTACACTAAGGTTCCTTCCATCCCCTAGTAGCTCACACTTGACAATTCCCAGTTCTCTCAGCACCAGTGATGCCTGCCCTGAAGACACATTGCTGTTGATCAGTGCCTGAATACTGACGGCTAATTCTGATCAATTTCTCAGGCTTATTTCCTTAATCTACATTGGCTCACATTGTCCCCTAACACATCCCTGTTAACTGAAATGCATTGCCACCATAAATCCTCACGTTTTCATAGGTAACGTCACTTGCTAATATAATTGGCTATTTGGCTATTTGATTTGTAATTTAGAAATTTCTGTCCTAGTAGTCCGTATTATATAAGTATGTATATGCAATTTGTACTAACTGTGTGTGTAAGATGCAGTTATACATAGCACCATATGGAAAACTGCAGTATGGAGTTTCTCCCATGGGGAGGTTTGACACTAGGCTACTTAAGAGCTAGAGGGTACTAGTTTCGAACCTGGGATAGCTAAATCAATGAGAACCACCTATAACTATGGTGTCAGCCTGCGGCTACTGGAGTAAGTTGTCATCAACTAGTGACGAGTTGGTCACAACACTTAGTAGGAAGCACAGTGGCGTAAGGAAACCTGGACTAGTGGGGCCTTCATATCTAAAATTATGTATTATTCTGCATAGGCAGAATGTGTTAATACGTTATGAATGCTAAGGGCTTTAAAGCAAACATGTTATGGTCTTTCTGTGGTAAAAACTGTTACTTGATATGGACATTCTTGCAGGTATTTTGGCGTACTCAGCCAAGCTGTCATTGGTGTTTATTCCAGTCAGCCTCCAGAGATGATCCTAAAAGTTTACAGGGCCTTTCCGTTTGGAACAGGTATATCAAGAGGGAGACAAACTGGTCCAAATCACTAGAAAGAAAATGTCACAGCACCGACTGGGCATCTGTGTTAAAAAAATAGCAACTATATTAAAAATAAACTGTACAATATAAAAAATTTAAATTAAAAAATGCATTAAGCAAGTTGCCTTTAGAAATGTGAAGACATTTTAAAACACTACAAGGTAATGAGAAGTCTCACCTACGTAATCATGGCTCCACAGACAGTGCTGTCCATGCATCCACCATTTCTCAATACCTACAAAGTTTTAAGATCTGCTTAGTTCAGATACTGTCCAGCCACAGCAGCTCTCCTCTGCTGTAAAGAGCAGCATATTCAGCTTTGACTTTTTTTTTCAGATACTAAATATCCTTTGACAGTTTCAGATAGTACAGCCAAAAAAAAAAAAAAAAAACAGTTTTAAGTGTTTTTGGCAATCATATTGGTGATAGTATTTTTGTTACTCTTAAGAATGTTATGGTGGAGGTGGGAGGATGATTTGAGCCTAGGAGTTCAAGACCAGCTTGGGCAACAGTTGAGTGACTTTGTCTCTACAAAAAGTAAAAAAAGTGAACTGGGTGTGTTGATGTGCACCTGTAGTCCTAGCTACTCGGGAGGCTGAGGTGGATCACTTGAGCCCAGGAGTTTGACTGCAGCAAGCCATGATTGTGCCACTGCACTCCAGCCTGGGCAACAGAGTGAGATCATGTCTCAAAAAAAGTTGCACATATAACAGATAAAGTAATGATAAAGTAAATATGTAAAGTAAATGAGTAATTATGGGACATTCTAATTCCTCATCCCCTGTGTCTTTAAGAAATAAAATTCTCATTGTAGAAGAAAGAGTATATATAATATAGAATTGGTTAAATAAAAACCCTGTGAGCTTTGAATTGGACATATTAATATGAAATCATTTTATCTTGAAAACTTAAAAAGGGAAAGAAGCAAGTATTTATCCTGTTATATGGAGTATAATCCTTTTATAAAAGTATTCACGTTAATAAATGAAAAAGAAATGACTAAAATGTCATTTTGCAACCCACTAATGAATTAATAGATCTAGGAATTACACGGCAGCTTCCAATTTGCAGGAAATACAGAGAATAGGGAAACTACACCATGAATTTCCAACTAGCAAACCCCAGACTATGAGAAGCTCTAAACACTAAATGGCCTGTAAATTGGAAAGAAAAGAAATGGATAAGGAACTTCAATTATCTTTAAATGCGTGAGAGTCAGGATAATAGTTCCTGCTTGAGGGAAGCCAGGACTGTGTGTCTGGAAGGACCATAAGGAGGGGCTTCTAGGACAGGCAGCAAAATTATGTTTCTTGACCTGGTTGGTGGCTGCAAGGGTATCTACCTTTGAATAATACATTATGCTATACATTTGTTAGGTTTCCTGTATATGTAGCTACAACTATAAGAGATGATTTTTTTTAAGTTATATACATTAAAGTCCTAGGCACTGATAGGAAAAATATTGGAAAGGAAAACATAGAATTACTATTTACAAATGATTACATGCCTAGAACTTTCAATGCAATCAACTAAATCAGCAGTAATAGGAGTTCAGTAAACTTGGAATAACAAAAATATTATCAACAATAAATTTTAAAGTGTTAAGAGAAACTTCCAATAATAAAACAACAGAAATGGTAATATCTTAAGGAAGTAATACTTATGAAATATAAAAGCCCTGTGTGAAAAAGATTGTAAAACTTTACTGAGGAACATAAGACCTACATACCCGAAGGGATACTTCTTTCTTAGATAGGAGATAATATTGGAATGATGTCTTTCCAGTTAATCCATACATTATTGGCATCACTAATGATTGGGAAACGCAAGAAAAGGGCATTTCATACGCCGTTCTCTTTGGACTGCAATCTGGTATCAACTGATTAAAACTTAGAATATATAGTCTTTAGTTCTTCTTCCAGGAAAGTTTACTACATGAATACCTGCACTCATCCAAAAAATACACATACAAGGATGTTCCTGCAGCGCTGTTTATGATATTGAAAAACTGGAGGGCACGTAAATGACTGTAATTACAGGAATAGCTCAGTAAGTGAAGGTACCTAACAAGAGTATCCTAGATTCCCAATCATGGAAATAGGTTTATGATATATTGACTGAAAAAAGGGAAAGCTATACAATTGAATGTATTCTATCATTTTTTTCCAAAAATGGGATCAAATGCCATGCCCAGAGGATAGACAGAATGGGCTTAGAAGATACCCACTAATCTGGTCATTATCTTGGGGAAAGAGGCAGAAGAGAAAGGAAGGAAGGACCTCCCCTTTCTGATTTTATTCCTGAGTCACCTGAAGATGTACTTTTACAATTAAAAAAAAAAAAAAAAAAAAAAAAACCACCCTAACAATGAAACCTAAGAACCCACAAATGTCCACCTGATATTCCATGAGAAAAAAACTGCAAAACAAGCAAAAAAAAGTTACTGCAGACAGTTGGCAGCCTGTGGAGAGGGCATCAGCTTCTACACCTGAAGGACTCACTAATTTTTACCACTTACTAACTGTGTAACCTCAGCCAAGTCCCTCAGCGGGGCCATTATCTCCTCACCTCCAACAGAGGAACAAAACCTGACTGCAGCTCCGTGAGGATTCCAGGCACCATATGGAAAGTACCTAGAAAACAGGAGTTGCTCAATATATAGAAGGTAATAAATACACGTTTCCTGAGCAACTGTGAGTTCTGATCATTAATTTGCTTTCATTGAAACATGTAATGAAATATTGACTGAAACAAACAAGCAGACACCAAAATGGTTTCAGGCATTATATCTAAAATACAACTTTTTAGAAAACAGTATGATCACATGACTCTTACAAGGTATCATAACAACAATCTAACACTTTTATAAACTGCATTTATTGTACAGAGTACTCTGAAGAAAGAAAAAATATGTACAGCCATTCATTTTCATTAACACATGTATTCTGTCCTGCAATACTGGAGAGGCGGAATGTGTCTGGCACAGAAATAACCCCTAGGAGTTACAAATTAGAAAAACAACACTTTTAAAAAAGATTTTTACTTTTCTGGTAGAAATATAAAAACTGTGGTTCATGGGGAAAAACATTAAAATTAAAAAGTCCAATCAATTGTAGAGGTGGCTTTCACTCTTAAGAGTTTTCTCCCTCAAACCCACTTGTCAACAGCAGTGTTGAAAATCTACATATAAATAAATGGGCAGCGCTGCCCAGATAGCAGCACAGTATGAGCAACTCACAGTCAACGCTGTGCGGTGTTCTCTGCACAAATAATGCCCCTTCCTGGCATTCCGCGGTGGGCACTTACAGAGGGCATCACCTGGTGCCGCAACCTGCAACTCAACATCCATCTTCTCACACCACCACCAGTTAAAGGTACCAAAACAAACTGATTTGTTTAAAAAAAAAAAAAAAAGGGGGGTGCGGGAGGCAAAGGTACATGACAGCCATTACGTCGTCTTCCTGAATCCCTTTAGAATAGGGTAGATGTTTTCAAATGCTTCATAAATTTCTGCTCTGACTTTAGCACCTAAGAAGACAAGTTGAAGTAGAGATAAGAGACCGAAATGGCACTTCTTAACATATTAAGAAGGTAAAATTATTATTACCTTAAAGCTGCAAGCACAATTCTCACCATACCCAGTCAGATTAAGGCACAGGCATGAAAACATTAATGGTAGAACCCCTTGTCACCCCCCATTGTTTTATTTTTGTTTATAAACAATACTTTTAAAAAATCATCTTAGTGACTCCAGCATCTCGCGTCCATTCTATAGCTCAAGAGGCATGTGTTCACACGTCTCTCCTGGTCCTGAACCAGGCCCTAAACTAAGCAGGACGGCAATAACAACCGAATCTTTTTCTCCCAATTGCTGCCTTCAACTAAGCTCTTTTCTGAACCTTCCTTTCTTGTCACATAATCATATTGCTGAAGAATCGTAAAGCTTCAGATAACTAATTCCAAGTGAAAACACCATCTTCTATTCAATGCAGTGCTCACCTCCTCACTGTAAATGGAAACCTGCTTGCAGGGCTGTGGTCAGACTTCCCTGCTCTCACTGTGCCTTTAGTGGGCACGTTTCTCACAAGACTTGGGTGGGAGGCCTTTGTGCAAGAAGCTAGCCCACTGCCCCAACACTGAAATTTCTTTTCAGCACTGAGAAAATGCCATACTCGAAACACAAACATTCAGATACTACTTCCTGTTACAACTTACCTGTTAATACGACTTTTCCAGAAACAAAAATAAGGAGAACAATTCTGGGTTTGATCATTCTGTAGATTAAACCAGGAAATAACTCTGGCTCATAACTGGAAGGAAAATTGCAAAAACAGTTTAGAAATTAAGAGCTTTGCATGTTTTTAAATAAAATGAGAACCTGTACAAGGAAAAATACTGAATAAACAAGCAAACTAGTCAAGAGGTAAAGCACAGTTCTTCAAGCAGCATCAAAGGATAGAATAATTAAAGCAAGTGAGGCCAACTTTTAGTCATCAGTCAATAACCATTGGACGGGAGGCTATTTGTCCTCCTATCGCTTTACCCTATTTCTACTGAATCTGGATTTTCTGATTTAAGAAAAAGATTCCTGCAGTTACGTCTGCAGTCTCTGATAATAATCACCTACTTTTACAGTCCTAATAATTACTATTACATACCTAATAATCATTTACTTCTAAGATCTGATACTGTAACTTTTAATCAAATCTCACCCCCTTAAATTGAAATATTCTCTAGGTGTCAATTGTGTTCAGGAAATTCAAACACTCTGATATACTAGCCTGAGAATTAACCTATACCTGATTGAGCTGTCTGACTGAATGGACTATTGGGGGGGGGGGGGGGGGGGGGGTGTAATTTTTTTTTTTTTTTTTTTTTGAGACGGAGTCTTGTTCTGTTGCCCAGGCTGGAATACAGTAGCACGATCTTGGCTCACTACAACCTCCGCCTCCTGGATTCGAGTGACTGTCCTGCCTCAGCCTTCCATGTAGCTGGGATTACAGGCGTGTACCACCATGTCCAGCTAATTTTTGTATTTTTAGTAGAGACGGGGTTTTACCATGTTGGCCAGGCTGGTCTTGAACTCATGAACTCAAGTGATCCACCTGCCTCGACCTCCCAAAGTACTGGGATTACAGGCTTGAGCCACCAGGCCAGGCCTGGTACATATTCTTCTAAGCCTAGTAATCTCATTTTTCTTAGTTCAGAGAGACTTAAAACAGGATGCCTCTGTTTCTGTGTGTCTGACCTAAGACAAAATTCAGGACAGGCTTCTCTGAGGAAGAGTGGAATGGGTAGACATATGGAACTCAAGTGGGAGCTTCCTAGGTGAAAAGGGAAATGAGTGTACTAGGCGTAAAAGCTGCAAGTGCACAGGCCCATGGCAGGAGGAACCAAGTGAGCCCAAGGGGCACACAGAACTAGTGTGCCTGTGAACAGACACCAGAAGACCATGAGATGAGGCTGTGAGGTGGGCAGGGCTGCCTGCCTGTGAGTCTTCACCTGCAAGTAGCAGGGAAGATAATTAGAAAGTTGTTCCTACGGCTCAACTTCACACTTTGCTGGCAGATCTGACACAATGTTGACTAAAAGAGAAGATCCAAACTGGGGAAAAAAAAATTGATACAAGAGGTTAGGTTAAATTTATGCATTCCAAGTGTATTCAGCAATCAAATGATAAAACATACAGAAGCAGAATCAAATTCAGTCCAGTAAAGGGGAGTTATGGGTACTGCTAAGTGACAAGGGAAGCAGAGGCTGGTGAGAGTGATAAATGTCACTGAGAACATCAAGAAGACAATGCAAGAATACATACAATTATAACCATGTCAACTGTTCTCACATACCGAATATTTTACATGTGTTTTATTCTGAACAATGTTTAGATTATAAATGAATTGTTGCCAAAAGCAATCATAATACATTTCAGACTTACCTACTAAACTGTTGGTGGGTGAGCACAAGACCTTCTAACCTTATAGGAAACTTCACATCACAGCTCCCCACCATGTTCTGAATCTTGAAGTCCAAGAACTTAGCTGGAAAACCCAACTTCTGTACAACTCTAGCATATTTTCTTGCTGCCAGTCTGGACTGTTCTTCACTAGGGAAAGGAAAAAAGTGAGTTATTCATACTCAAGACTCAGCTAAAATATTTATTTAGACTAATAACTTATAAAAAGTCCTAAACAGGAAACTAATAAAGTGTAAACTGGTCAGCCCCCTTGCAATAGGAGAAAAGACTGACAGACATTCACAATTTCCTTATAAAGTATTCCTGGATCCTTGACAGAAAACTGTAGGTCTGCCAAAATGACCTTTCAATCTGCCAAATTATTGTAGCCCTCCCTAGATTTTATGGATGTGAATTATTACCATCATCAATCATCACTATTTCTATATTTTAGCCCATGCATTTCTACTGAGAGGGAAACTAACAAACTTCATATTGATCAGAAAATGTTGATGAGATTTATTATTGAACAATGTATTCACTAATTCTATTCTCTTTTATACCAAGACTCATCATGAATAGACATTCCTATGATGTCATTTGTTGAGGCAGTTCAGAGCTTACATAAGAAAAGCAGAATGTGGGCCAGGCATGCTGGCTCACACCTGTAATCCCAAGCCCTTTGGGAGGCCAAGGCAGGTAGATCACCTGAGGTCAAGGGTTCGAGACCAGCTTGGTCAACGTGGTGAAACTCTATCTCTACTAAAAATACAAAAATTAGCCGGGTGTGGTGGAAGGCACCTGTAATCCCAGCTACTTGGGAGGCTGAGGCAGGAGAATCACTTGAATCTGAGACGTAGAGGTTGCAGTGAGCCAAGATTGTGCCACTGCCCTCCAGCCTGGGCAACTCCACCAACAACAAAAAAAAAAAAAAGGAATGAAAGAAAGAAAGAGGAGAGGAGAGGAGAGGAGAGGAGAGGAGAGAACAGGAAAAAAAAGAAAATAAGAGAGAAAAGAAAAGAAGGAAGGCCGGCCGGGCGCAGTGGCTCATACCTGTAATCCCAACACTTTGGAGGCCAAGGTGGGTGGATCACGAGGTCAGGAGATCAAGACCATCCTGGCTAACACAGTGAAACCCCGTCTCTACTAAACATACAAAAATTAGCCAGGCATGGTGGCAGGCACCTGTAGTCCCAGCTACTTGGGAGGCTGAGGCAAGAGAATGGCGTGAACCTGGGAGGCAGAGCTTGCAGTAAGCCCAGATTGCGCCACTGCACTCCAGCCTGGGCGCAGAGCAAGACTGTCTCAAAAACAACAACAACAACAACAAAAAGAATGTGAAAATATTACCATAAAAAGACTATCAGGTGCAGGGGATCAGGAAGAACAAAAATCACGCATATATATATGCTATGCTTTTAATTTTCAGGTAAATTTATTGGTGGTTTCTTGTCTTGATGAAACAGTCATCCAACTAGATATACAATATTCAGTTTTCAGATGCTCTGGGACAAAAAGACTAAATGCTGTATGAAAAGCTTGCCTTGATAAACCAAAAGTTTCTGATATTCCATGCAGGGGAAAACAAGCAAACAAAAAGGCTCTTAATTAAAGAGGTTACTACTGCATGTTGTGGCCAAGGGGAAGTGAAAGGCAAGAACAGATCCTTGTCCTGCATTCTGAAAAGCCTTGGAGACCAGGAGCCAGAATGTCCACACCAATGACATTCCCCTCACTGAAAGACAATTTCAAACTTCAGAATAAGCAAAAATATCCACAGCCCCCTTCTATGTGTTGACACCTCCAAGTACGTTTAATACGCTTTCATTTAAAAAGTTTTAGTTCATTTGTTCAGTTCATTTATGAAGCTAATGTCACTAATTTTCCCCCCAGTTTTTGACTTCTATCAGGTATATGAGCTCTGTTTAGAATAGTCAGGGCCCCAGAGCACTACCCTTCAGACAGGATCACTTCAGATGCAGAATACAGGCAATGACATTTTATAACAGGGGTGCATTCCTTAGGATCTGCACAACTCAAACGCTCATAATGAACGCTAGTTCCAGTGAGATGGCAGGTTTCTGCAGTCAACACATGTGGTGCTGTCATGCTGCCCGGCCCAGTAAGGTCTGCAAAGCCCTTACACCATTAGCTTAGAAGCGTTCTAATGCTTGACCAATTTTTTCTTCCATTTCAAGATGTATTTGTGTTATTTACAACATTTTTCACATAAAGGGAATTTTATTAATAGTTCTGATGTTGTATTACATCTTACCTAATTTTATTTTATTTTTTTTTCTGGAGACAGAGTCTTGTTCTGTCTCCCAGCCTGGAGTGCAGTGGCATGATCTCAGCTCACTGCAACCTCCGCCTCCCAGATTTAAGCGATTCTCGTGTTTCAGCATCCCAAGCAGCTGAGACTACAGACATTCACTACCACGCCTGGCTAATTTTTGTATTTTTAGTAGAGATGGAGTTTCACCATGTTGGTCAGGCTGGTCTTGAACTCCTGGCCTCAAGTGATTTGCCCGCCTTGGCCTCCTGGGATTATAGGTGTGAGATACCATACCTGTCCATATCTAATTTTTAAGAAAATGAAATCACTGGTATCTACAATTAATAGAATCAACCATTTTAATAAGAAAGCAGTAATAACATGTTAAAGTGCTAACCTAATAACCTAAAAACTCGTTCACAACCCATAAACCAGAAGAATGAATTTCTTACGGCTACCTCTTGGCTCCTGTGCACACCATTTTCCCAGAACTGAAAATCAGTGCCGTGGTTCGTGGCTCTCTTATCCTCATGATTACTGCAGCAAACCGCTAAAATAGAGAGAATCATTAGTGAGGTCATGCCAAACTGCTCAATTTTGTTAGGAGAACTACACATTGACAAAAAAATCACAACTGGTAGGAAGGACACAGTACATCTAGTTGTCAAAATATTTGTCCTGTATTTCTGCATATCTGTAAAGGATTTGCATACACCACATGTAACAAATATTCCTTTGCATAAGGAGCAGAAAATAATCAATTGTGACAAAGTTATACCAAGATCTGTATGTTCTTTCACATGAGCATTCCACCAAGAGAAATGTTTGCAAAATTTGGTTATGTTCTCAATAAATACCAGTGCCTCTGTTTCTACTTTATATTTGCTGCTTATCATGACTATAGCTTCTCTAATGATAAATTTTGTTTTATTAATATGAATTTTGAGGCAAATAAACCAATAAACGTTTTCTACCTTAATGGATTTAATAAATCAGATTACAAGCATACCAATATGTAATGAAGTAAAATCCTGCTTCCAATTGGCCTTTAGAAACAATATTAATGTATTAAACACATATAAATGCAAATTAGGAAAAAAACATAGTTTTAACTTTTATTTTCTGCCTTTTTGCTTGAAACACGTTAATTCTTTCAGAAAATTTTCTTGCTAAGATGGTAACTCATGGGGAAAATATTTCAATTCTGGGTTGAATTAATGGCCTCAGTTATTAGGTACATGATAAAAAGCAAGTAATTACTTTGAAACAACTTAAATATTTTAATATATTATATTTAATTATACAATAAAAACCTATGTATTTCTAACTGAGATGACTCTGACAAACTAGATTGCTTTAACAATTTTATTTTTTTATTTTATTAATTTTTTTTTTTTAGAGACAGAGTCTCACTTTGTTGCCCAGACTGGAGTGCAATGGTGCAATCATGGCTCACTGCAGCCTCGAATTCCTGAGTTCAAGAGATCCTCCTGTCTTGGCCTCCCAAGTAGCTGGGATTATACGTGTGTGCCACCAACCCCAGATAATTTTTTAAATTTTCTGATGAAACGAGGTCTTGTTATGTTGCCCAGGCTTGTCTCGAACTCTTGGCCTCAAGCGATCCTCCCACTTTGGCCTCCCAAAGTGCTGGGATTACAAGTCTGAGTCACTGTGCCTGGCTTTTAACAATTTTAGTTTAAAAACTGCTCTATGTCTTCCCTGTGTTTTTATCAACATCTAAAAAAGCTAGCAGTATATAGTAGTTTATCTAAGTCCCAGGAAAAGCCTAGCTATTTTGCATTTCCAGAATTTCCTCTACTATTTCTATTGGTTAAGTATCACTTCACTTAAGATTATAAAGTAATAAAATTATGTATTCAAGTAAATATGATTATAATAGATGAAAGATTAATTCTTAAAATGCTACATGTCATACAGACTCATTATGAGTGGTTAAAAGGAGATTTTCAGACCCCTAGCTTAGCTATCTTTCAGATCTTAGGCGTTATGTTTCAGGGATTTTAAAATGCACCCTAAGTCCATTACTAACACTTCTCTCAACCCAGCTAATGTTTATCCAGATTACTTTGCCTACTATAGCTGGCAAACATCATCCCTATACATACACAAAATTCTTCACATGATCCCAATACAATATATATGTAACTTAGCTTGTTTTATAGACTGCTGTATTCCCAGGGATTCTTATATCACAGACACTCAATAAAAGATACAAAACAATGCACATTTTACTTTAGATCTTCATTTTGTTGGTGTCAAGGAATAAGCATAACACAAACTCTTTGATATACAGATTTTTTTTTTGAGATGGAGTCTTGCTCTGTTTCCAGGCTGGAATGCAATGGCGCGATCTCCGCTCGCAACCTCTGCCTCCCAGGTTCAAGTGATTCTCCTGCCTCAACCTCCCAAGTAGTTGGGATTACAGGAACAAGCCACCACTCCCGGCAAATTTTTGTCTTTTTAGTAGAGACAGGGTTTCACTATGTTGGCCAGGATGGTCTTGAACTCCTGACCTCAGGTGATCCGCACACCTCGGCCTCCCAAAGTGCTGGGATTACAGGTGTAAGCCACCAAGCCCAGCCGATTTTTCTTTTTTTTTTTTAAGAGACAGGGTCTTGCCATGTTGCCTGGGCTGGTCTTGAAGTCCTAGGCTCAACCAATTCTCTCTCCTCAGCCTCTCAAACTGCTGGGATTACAGGCATTAGCCACTGTGCCTAGACTGATCTACAGACATTTGTTACATAGTGTGAAATACATTAAAACATAGAGACATGACAGAGAAGACAAAAAAGAAAAAAAAAGAAATACATTAAAATAGATCTAACCTTGGGATTATATTCGGCATTTCGGGCACGAAGTGCAATGGTCTTTAGGTCAAGTTTACAACCAAGATTCACTGTGGATACAATATTTCTGTAAGAAATTTGAAAAGAAAACATGACTATTTAAATTACTTAACCTTCACTGGATGAGGTGTTAGAAATTATGCAGACATCTGATTATTTCAACCAAGCTTTAATTTTTTAAAATTGCTCACATTTATTGTTTAACAAGTATCATGCACATGTTGAGCATTTTATATAGATTATTCCATTTAATACTTATAATGCACTGTGGTAGAAGCTACCAGTATTCCCACATTCGGATAAATAAGCTGAGGCTTAAAGGTAGTGCAACTTCCTCAGGATGCACATGGCTCCCAAGTGGAAGAGCCAGGATTTGAGTCTGTCTCCAGAGCCATGCCCTTAGCCTTCTCACAGACAAACTCATTTCTCACCTGTGAGCTCTAAAAAGCCATCACCACCACCACCCTACTCCTAAGTCACTTTTTTTCTTTTTTTTTTTTTTTTTTTTGAGACGGAGTCTCGCTCTGTCGCCCAGGCTGGAGTGCAATGGTGCAATCTCGGCTCGCTGAAAGCTCCACCTCCCGGGTTCACGCTATTCTCCTGCCTCAGTCTCCCGAGTAGCTGGGACTACAGGCATGTGCCACCATGCCTGGCTAATTTTTTGTATTTTTAGTAGAGATGGGGTTTCACCATGTTAGCCAGGATAGTCTCGATCTCCTGACCTCATGATCTGCCCACCTCGGCCTCCCAAAGTGCTGGGATTACAGGTGTGAGCCACCGTGCCTGGCAAACCTAAGTCACTATTTATTATGAAAATGAGTTCTCTCAAAGTAAGTATCTTTTGAAAAACAACAGCTAAGTGTCTTTAGCAAAAAAAAAAAAAAAAAAAAGCAAAACCCTGCTTTCTCTTCTAATTCTCTCTCAGTAAATAAGGATAAACGGAGCCATCTGGGTCCACTGACCCTTTACATTTCTCAGTGTTCTTAAATCACTTAATGAATAACTTACACAAGGATAAAGATATACTAAAAGCAACTATTAGAAATTTTAATAAAAATTTAAACAATAAACCTACATTTTCATTATACATTTTTTCTGCTTATGAAAGTATATATACTTGGCCAGGCACAGTGGCTCACGCCTGTAATCCCAGCACTTTGGGAGGCCAAGGTGGGCAGATCATGAGGTCAGGAGATCGAGACCATCCTGGCTAACACAGTGAAACCCCGTCTCTACTAAAAATACAAAAAAACTAGCCGGGCGAGGTGGCGGCGCCTGTAGTCCCAGCTACTCAGGAGGCTAAGGCAGGAGAATGGCGTGAACCCAGGAGGTGGAGCTTGCAGTGAGCCGAGATCACACCACTGCACTCCAACCTGGGCAACAAAGTGAGACTCCGTCTTAAATAAATAAATAAATAAATAAAGTACATATACTTGAAACGGGCAATGTCCTTTGAATGCAATTAACTGCGCAACAACTGTCTTGCATGGACCTGGAAATCACCATCCCAAGAATATGGAGTCCAGATTTCAAATACATAGGTTCAAATACAATAGGTTATAGCTCACTGTTGCTTCTGGTTCTTTTTCTTATACTGTCAAAATGCAATACTTTTGAAAACTTGATGGCCCATAATTTTGTTCAAAAGAGAATGCCAGTCTATGATACACAACCGTAAAGCCAATTAGGTTGATCCACACAATGTTTTCATTTCCATATCATCTCTTTCCTTCCAATCACCGTTGTATACACACCCGCCTTTAGCATTTGTCCACTGACGAACTATATCAAGTAGATTTTAGTACATCTATCACAACTTTCATCACATAATTGTTATATGTATTCTTATATGTTTTCATTAATTAAATATTTGCCTTAATCCCTCTTAAGCCTACAAGACTGAGAGGGCACTGAATTACCACGCAGGAGGGTTCTTAGTAAAGAGCAGCAGTTCAGGAATGTGGATGACTGGATGCTCTCGGGAGTATCAGAACAACAAAGGCACGGCAAGAAACAAACACCTGACTGTACTGTTTATACTTTATTATTTAAATCAGAAATGCAAACTTAAATTTTCTTGGGAGTCCGACAAGCATGCTGGACACAAGGGAGCGGTACAGACAAGGGTGAGTTAAAAAGGGCTGTCTCTAAAATCACTTTGTTTTTAAAATTGTGTGTGTGGTCAAACAAAATTGTGGAGGCAGGATTTAGGTCTTTGGGTAAAAGTCAGCATCCACGATTACACACCACTAAGTTCCAAAAATGATCAGAGATAGCTTAAAAACAACCACCATATTATGTAACAAGGTGAATAAATGCAAATAGGAAATACTAGATCTAAAGGGAGTATGAAGGAGGAAGGTATCTGTACAAGAAAACTGAGGAGATGAAGAGACTGCAAGTAACCTTTTAATTTGGTCCTAAGCTTTCTAACATGAAAAGCTGCACGCTTCTTATTGACTGGGATTATTTGGAAATATTTGCTGTTTTTTCAGGAAGATGAAATTATTTCCTATCCCTACTACCCTGTTACATATAGAACCCACTTCACTTAGGTAGAAAAATCCATTTAGGACAAGAACAGTCATCCTCATTTTGTGGGAAGGACATAGACCTTCAAAGATTCATATGCAGTCCCCACAGTAAAAATAAAAAACAAGAACTGCCAGAAATTATACTGATACTGTGACTAAAGACCTAAAATAGCATAAGGGAAAGAGACTACATAACATTGTGATTTGGCGATATCAGATACAGGGAAATGTCTATAATATAATAATAATGACAGTGAAAATCAGATTAAATTTTATTGGCTCAGGTATATAAACACAAATGACCACATTTCTAAACCTGTTAAGAACCTTTTACTGAGGGCACTAAGATGGCTTTGCTTCCCTTTCCCAAGTGTGAGATAAAGCAAATTTTGATACACAATTGCTGTTAGTGCCATTCCCTCCCTTAATAAAAGGATCCATCAGAGAACAGAGCAGGAACACAACTCAAAGGGACTCCCAAGTGGGAGGAAACATAAAACACCAAGTACTCACTGCAGCTGCGGTACAATCCCAGAACTCTCTGAAGCTGGAGTGGCAGGAGTGATGGGGGTCATGGGAGTCATGGGAGAGGGATACAGTGGAGTGGTGCCCGGCAAGGGTGCAGTTGTGAGAGTCTGTGAGTGGAAGAGCTGTGGTGCCTGGCCTGAGGTCCCCTGTGTTGTCTGCTGGGATGTTGACTGCTGAACGGCTGCAGTGGCCACTGCCTGTTGCTGCTGCTGCTGCTGCTGCTGCTGCTGCTGTTGCTGTTGCTGCTGCTGCTGCTGCTGCTGTTGTTGCTGCTGCTGCCTTTGTTGCTCTTCCAAAATAGACAGACTATTGGTGTTCTGAATAGGCTGTGGGGTCAGTCCAGTGCCATAAGGCATCATTGGACTAAAGATAGGGATTCCGGGAGTCATGGCACCCTGTGGAAAGCAAGGAGAGAAACAGGTTAGGTTGGCTGCTGCTGAGTGTTTGTGGAAGTTTCTTGGTGGAACAGCAGGTGAGATGTGCAAAGACAGACGCCTTCTGAGAATAATGGGGTTATTAAACTTTAATTACGGAAGAACCAGCTATTCTTACACACATTGCTTTCTTCTTTAATACCACACAGTGGATAAACATGAAGAAAAATGGATAAACTGAACTTTGGAAAAATTAAAAACTTCTGTTCTTTGAAAGACACCATGGAGAAAATTAAAAGGCAGGCCACAGACTGGGAAAAAAATATCTATAATACATACATCTGAGAAAGGACTGGTAAACAGAATAATAAAGAGCTCTGACGACTCCATAAAAGAAGATCAACAAATAAAATAATGAAAAAGGGCAAAAGATGTGAAGGGCATATTACAAATGAAGATACAGGCATACCTCAGAGATACTATGGGTTAGGTTCCAGACCATCTCAATGAAGCAAGCAGCATGAATTTTTTGGTTTCCCAGTGTCTACAAAAATTATGTTTACACTATAGTCTATTAAGTGTGCAATAGCATTATGTCTAATAATATGTATATACCTTAATTTAAAAATGCTTTATTGCTAAAGATGCTAACAATCCTGTGAGCCTGCAGCAAGTCATAATCTTTTTGCTGATAGAGGGTCTTGCCTCGATGCTGACAGCTGCTGACTGATCAGGGTGGTAGCTGTGGCAATTTCTTAAAATAAGACTGACGAACTTTGCCACAAGGACTGACTCTTCCTTTCACTGAAGATGTCTCTGTAGCATACGATGCTGTTTGACAGCATTTTACCCACACTAGAACGTAGTTCAAAATTGGAGTCAATCCTCTCAAACGCTGCTGCTGCTTTATCAACTACATTTATGGAATATTCTACAGCCATCAGTTCTTCACCAGGAGTCAATTCCATCTCAAGAAACCACTTTCTTTGTTCATCCACAAGAAGCAACTCCTCATCTGTTCAGGTTTTATCAAAAAATTGCAGCAATTCAGTCACATCTTCAAGATTCACTTCTAATTCTAGTTCACTTGCTATTTCCACTACACCTGCAGTGACTTCTACCACTGAAGTCTAGAACCTCTCAAAGTCATCCACGAGGGTTGGAATCAACTTCTTCCAAACTCTTATTCATGTTGATTCCTCCTCCCATGAATCACAAACGTTCTTAATGGCATCTAGAATGGTGACTCTTTTCCAGAAGGTTTTCAATTCACTTTGCCCAGATCCATCAGAGGAATCACTATCTACGGCAGCTACAGCATATGCCCCTCCCTGCTTCCTTTCTTTGAGACAGGGTCTCCATTGTAGCTTTTAACTTCTGGACTCAAGTGATCCTCCTGCCTCAGCCTCCCACATAGTTGGGACTACAGGCACATGCCACCACAACCAGCTAATTTTTAATTTTTTTTTTTGTAGCAACAGGGACTTGTTTTGTTATCCAGGTTGGTCTCGAACTCCTGCCTTTGAGTGATCCTTCCACCTTGGTCCCCCAAAGTACTGAGATTACGAGCATGAGCCACCATACCCTGCTCTATTTCTTAAATAGTAAGAACTGAAAGTTGAAATTACTCCTTGAACCATGGGCTAAAGAATGGATATATTATTTAAGCAGGCATGAAAACAATATTAATCTCCTTGTTCTTCTGTATCAGAGCTTGTGGACAACTAGTCACGCTGTCAGTGAGTAATATTTTGAAATCAATCTTTTTTTCTGAGCAGTAGATCTCAAAGAGCTTAAAATATTCAGTAAACCATGCTGTAAACAGATGTGGTCTCATCAGGTTTTGTTGTTCTGTGTGCTGAGAACAGGCAGAGTAGATTTAGCGAAATTCTTAAGGGCCCTATGATTTTAGAACAGTAAATGAGCATTGGTTTTAACTTAAAGTCACCAGCTATATTAGCCCCTAATTACAGTCAGCCAATCCTCTGAAGCTTTGAAGCTAGGCACTGACTTCTCCTCTCTAGCTATAAAAGTCCTAGGTAGCATCTTCTTCCAGTAGAAGGCTGTTTCATCTACATTAAAAATCTGTTATTTAGTATAGTCACCTTCATCAATAATCTCGGCTAGATCTTCCAGATAACTTGCTGCTTCACGTTGTATTCTTAGGTTGTGGAGAAGGCTTCTCTCCTTAAAGCTCATGAATAAACCTCTGCTAGTTTCAAAATTTTCTTCTACAGCTTCCTCTCCTCTCTCAGCCTTTACAGAACTGAAGAGAGTCAAGGCCTTGCTCTGGATTACACTTTGGCTTAAGGGGATGTTGTGGGTAGCATGATCTTCTATCCAGACCAGGCAAACTTTCTCCATATAAGCAATAAGGCTGTTTTGCTTTCTTATCATTTGTGGGTTAAATTAGAAAGAGTAGCACTTCTAATTTCCTTTACGAACTTTTCCCTTGCATTTACAACCTGGCTAACTATTTGGTGCAAGGGGCCTAGCTTTTAGCCTGTCTCAGCGTTCAACATGCTTTCTTCATTAAGCATAATCATTTCTGGCTTTTGGTTTAAAATGAGAGAAACGCAGCTCTCCCCTTCATCTCAACACTTAATGAAAGAGCACTGTAAGGTTATTAATTAGCCTAATTTCCATACTGTTGTGTCTCAAGGAATAGGGAAGACCAAGGAGAGAGAGAGAGAGATGGGGGAATGGCTGGTCAGATTGTAGACATTTATCAATTAAGTTCCTATATTATACGGGTGCAGTTTATGGCATTCAATAATAATTACAATAGTAATATCAAGATCACTGATCACAGTAACAGATAATAATGAAAAGGTTTGACTGGGCTCAGTAGCTCATGCTTGTAATCCCAACCCTTTGGGAGGCCAAGGTGGATGGATCACTTGTAGCCAGTAGTTTGAGAACAGCCTAGCCAACATGGTGAAGCTCCTTCTCCACTAAAAATACAAAATTTAGCTGGGTTTGGTGGCACAGGCCTATAATTCCAGCTACTCAGGAGGCTAAGGCAGGAGAATCGCTTGAACAGGGGAGATGGAGGTTGCAGTGAGCCGAGGCTGCACCACTGCAATCCAGCCTGGGCAACAGAGTGACTGCAAAAAAACAAAACAAAACAAAAAAAAAGAGGAAGTTTGGTAACAATAACAGATAATAATAAAAAGTTTGAACCAAAATCTAACCCCAAGTACACACTGTTGGAAAAATAACGCCAACAGACTCACTGGGTACAGGTTTATCACAACCTTCAATTTGTCAAACATGCAGTGAAGTCGACTGCAGCAAAGTAAGGCGGGCCTGTGTGTGAGTGGCTGACAAGCACTTGCCAAGGTGCTCAGAAACATTCGTAATCAGGCAAATAAAAATCAAAGCCACAGTAAAATACAACTAAGCAATCACTAGAGTGAAAGTAAAAAGATTGACAGCACAAAGCGTTGGTGAGGATGTGGGGCAACTTAAATCTCTTATGCTGCGAAACAATACAGCCACTTCAGAAAACAGTTTGGCAGTTTCTTATAAAGTTATACATACACTGATATAAGACCTGGCAATCCTACTCCTAAGTATTTACCTATGAGAAGTAAAAACAGTACATTCAAAGTCTACACAAATGTTTATAGTGCTTTTATCCATAATAGCTCCAAACTGGAAAGACCCCAAATGTGAGCAACTAGAGAATGGATGAACTGTGGAACATCCAAACAATGGAGTGATACTTAGCTATACAATGGATTAACTACTGATATACAAACAGTATACCAGGCTAAGAAGTCAGACATACACAAAAAAGCACACACTATATGATTCCATCTATATGAGATTCTAGAATAGACAAAACTAATCTTCAGCATTGAAAAGCAGATTCAGTAGTTACCTGGGGCCAACAGAGTGACTATAAAGGGGAAGAAGGGACTTTTTAAGATAATTGAAATGTTCCGTAACTTATACATGTATATATAATTATCAAAACAGACACTTAAAATGTGTTTTTTGTATGTAAATTATTTCAACAGAAGTTATTGGTTTTTTGTTTTTGTTTTTGAGACAGAGTCTAGTCTTGCTCTGTCCCCCAGGCTGGAGTGCACGGGCACGATCTCTGCTCACTGCAACCTCCACCTCCCGGGTTCAAGCAATTCTCCCTGCCTCAGCCTCCCAAGTAGTTGGGATTACAGGCACCCACCACCATGCCTGGTTAATTTCTGTATATTTAGTACAGATGGTTTCGCCATGTTGGCTAGGCTGGTCTCGAACTCCTGACCTCAGGTGATCGCCCACCTTGGCCTCCCAAAGTGCTGGGATTATAGGCGTGAGCTACCACACCCAGCCTGAAACATTTTTATCGTAGATGGGTGGTTGAGAGCTTGAAATGTAGAAGGGGAAAAATAAAACTAGAAAATAATTTGGTGAGGGTGATTTTCAAAATCAAAGATCCTATATAATTATTTGGAACATTCTCATAAGTGTTTATCAAAAGATTAGGTGTTTTATAGATATACAACTTCCAAACAGATTCCCCAAATAAACACTATTGTGCCCATTCAAAACCTAATAGAACATCTCAACAAAATCAGGCTTAAAAAATATATTAAATCATTTTCAAAAACAGATCATTAAATGCCCTTCCTTGCCTTTTGATACCATCTCTTGCAGTTCAGATTTCCGCCCTCCCTATTCTCTCCCTCCTGCTGTATTACCTGAGGGGAGGCCAAGCCCTGAGCGTAAGGTGGCAGGCTGTTGTTCTGATCCATGATGTTCACTTTCTTCTTGGCAAACCAGAAACCCTTGGGCTGGAACTCGTCTCACCATTCAGTTTTTTCCTAGAGCATCTCCAGCACACTCTTCTCAGCAACTTCCTCAATTCCTTGGGTTATCTTGACACCAAGAAACAGTGATGCTGCTTTGGAAAAAAGTCTGAAGTTTAATTTAAGGATCCAGGTAACCTATACAGTCCTATAAGCCAGTTCCATGGCTATACAAAACACAAACATGAAAACCAATGAAGCTATTCTGGAATACATTTGTTTTTACCTTAAAATCCCAAAGTCTTATTCCTTCCAGGTTTCCGGCGATTGCATGTAAAATCACCAACAAAACAAAAATCATTTTGTTACACGTTTAAATACTCAGATAATGCTCAAAATCAAGCTGTCATAACCAGCATTAAAAACTTTTGAGGAGGCCGGGCGCGGTGGCTCAAGCCTGTAATCCCAGCACTTTGGGAGGCCGAGACAGGTGGATCACGAGGTCAGGAGATCGAGACCATCCTGGCTAACCCAGTGAAACCCTGTCTCTACTAAAAAAACACAAAAAACTAGCCGGGCGAGGTGGCAGGCACCTGTAGTACCAGCTACTCGGGAGGCTGAGGCAGGAGAATGGCGTGAACCCGGGAGGCGGAGCTTGCAGTGAGCTGAGATCCTGCCACTGCACTCCAGCCTGGGTGACAAAAAAAAAAAAAAAAACTTTTGAGGAAAAACACCTACAGAAAACTAATTCCTAAGCAAACTGTAATATCAGAGCAGAATATTTATTAAGCACTGTATACAAAGCACTGTTAGGCAAAGTTCAGATCTTTAAATATCCCAATTTTACATCCTCTACAATGTCTTGGGCAAAAAATTAAGTAAATATTAAATTCAATCCAATATACTTCAGAGTGATCATTTATCAAGCTCCTACTGTAATGAAACTGTAAAAAAAAAAAAAAAAAGCTGCACAAAGATAAAGCTCTGAATTTTTATAAACGTAATAACCTTACCTCTTTAGAACACAATAATGCAAACTGTGCCTGTTATCTGACTATTCTTAAATCGTCATCGCTTTACTCACTATACATCTGAAATGAGTTTATAATAACATATTCTCACATAGAACTTAAGAGGTCTCAAAGTTACAAATTATACGTCCAAAGACCCTTCAGGCATATGCACTTCAAGCATGTGCTGGTACAAAGTAGACACTCAGATATTTGCTTAATGTATGAAAGACTCTGACGATCACTTTGAAAGGCCAAAGGCCCCCAAAAACTATCTATCCTATATACTCATCACTGAAAAACAGACCAAAAAAGCAAGCAAGCTGTGCTTCTGGAAATAAATATATCAAAGACATTTTTTAAATTATACTTTTTTTTGACAGTTATCCTATAATAACAAAAGTGCTGCAGATGAGGAGATAAAGATAGGAAGATGTAGTCCCTGGCATCAAAGTGTTCAATATGAAGGGTATGCAAATAATTACTGTAAAACACAGTATTATAGTAGCAAGTATGGCCGAAGCTAAGTTCTTGAAAGCCTACGTGTCTTTGTGATCTCTGCATCTAGCACTAGGCCTGGAACGCAGTATGTGATCATGAATGAGCCCATCTGCACCCCTGGAAGAGAAGACAATAAAGACTAACAGCCAATCACTATGAAGAGAGGGCGCTGTTTTCACAAAGCAGGGATCATCTAACTTGGGTCTCACAAGATGAGTAGGAATTTACAAATCAGGGCTTCAGACAAAAGAGAAATCAAGCAGAAAGAGATAACAGATTGAAAAACATGCAGAATGCAGGCGACAAGCTTAGTATGACTGTACAGAAGGTCACTGCAGATGAGACAGCACATATTGGTGGGCTCATACTATCAGGAGTTTTAAATGTTAGGCAATAATAACAGTTATGGAATTTTGGAAGTGCACTATGAATAGATCTAATTTGGCAAGACTAGATGAATTTGAGAGGAGTAAAACTGGAGGCTGGAAGTTCCGCTTCAGGAACTTCAGGTGAGGCAAGAGATAATGACGGCACGATTTAAACCCATTGTAACTATGACTAGAGATTTATTTATCCAAGACCTTCGGTGGCTTCAGGCCACTTTTTGCAAGTAAGTCTACAGAAGAAACCGTACGGTGATTACTGCACTAATTTATCTCAGAAAAGAGTTGTTTGCTGGGTATTTTCAGCTCTTGGAAATTGAAACATCAAATCCGATATTTTTTGGAGGCAATCAAATTAATTCTGCATGGCCTTCTAGTGTCTGTATAACTAAATGAAGCACAGTCTTTTCACAGAAAAGCCTACCTAGAGATTTGGAAAACCATGATGGCCTGAACCGAGAAATGGGAGGCCCCATAAATAAATGGTGTGTATTCTATCTTAAGAGCTACCGTGCCCGCTGTCTCAGGCTTCTGACAAAATACTTAAGTCTCAATGTTGGTAGCAAAACAGGCGGGCACAGACCAGGGTGAATCTGCCTTCTAACATGGAGAAGAAGCGGATGGCAGGACAGGGCAGGGTAAACTTCGGGTCTTCGATGCAAGGGACTGTCTGTCCCGCCCGCCGCCGCCCAGTCAGTAGTACCCTGCACCCCACAATCGTACGATGGGAAGCCGCTTGCGAAACACAGCAGAGTAGGGCACCAGGCGGGAGCGGCGGCCGAGCGGCCGTTACAGGCCGGAACGGCGGCAGCGCGAGAGGGAGGAACGTCCCCCGCGGGGCCTGCACGCGCGCCAATTCCTCGTCTCTTCCCCACCATTGCCCCCAGGCCTCAATGCAGTGGTCGCCTCCGCCCGAACCCTCAGAAAAGAGTACAAGCTATTACCTGGGTCACTGCAAAGATCACCATGGGCCAGAGGAAACGAAGTTTCGCAGCCGGCGGCCCAGGCGCCCGCCACAGCGAACCTGCCTGACCTCACTGAACTCCTGGCGCGCGTTGATAATGTCACTTCCGCCAGCTCTGCCCTCGGCTTCAGCGAGTTGCTCCCACTAGGGTCGAGGCCCTGCGAAGTGTGGGCATAGGTCACTTCCTGTGTTTCCATAGGGGCGGAGCTTAAGGTAAGGAGGGGCAAAGCTCTTGAGGAGTTCCGGGGCGGGGCCGCCGTGCCACAGCCGTCTCTAATTGGCCCTTGCTGGACGTAGGAAAGATCGATTTTTAAATGGTGTATGTGTGTGTGTTTTGTTGTTGTTGTTGTTGTGGTGGTTTAAAGCAACTAGCGGCTTTACCTTTGGCAAGTTACCTGACGACTCCCCCGCAGTTTCTTCTGTAAAATTGAATAATGATAATAGTGCTTACTGTTGGGCTGTCGGGAGATTGACAGAGATTGACAGTACTTGGCACTCAGTAAGCGCGTGCTCCTTACTTGTGCAAGAACGCTAGCTGATCTTCAAGGGTGTAGAATGACAAGGAACACTAAGCAAAACAAACGGCTTGTGTTTACACATGCATTTATATTCAGTTCTGCCACTCCCATTTCATGCGCTGTGGTCACCAGGCTCTATTCGCAGTTGTTTCTTAGTGGGACTAGAACTTGGTGGGAACTGATTTTCCCTTCTGTAGTTCATTGTGGCGTAATCATGTTATACTGCTTGTTTTCTTTGTACTTTTTATTATCAGTGAGGTTGTGAGCTCTTTAAGGATAGGAAATGTTATATACATTTTTTATTAGCCAGGACAATTAACGCGCTCACCGTTATTCGAGTTGGCGTTGCGCCATAGTTCTGCCAATTTTTTTGTATGGTCAGACTTAAATTTTCGTCCATTGGGGTGAATTCCAATGTTTTCTTCGACGGGGGGCGGGAAACCTTTACTTTCCTGTCAGCTTTTTTGGAATGGGCGGGACCCAACTACCAAAGGGACAAGCCGCCCTGCAGCCCTCCAGGAGCAACGACTAGCGCAAGATAGAGAGGCCGGGAGCGAACTTCAGGAGAAGCCGGAAGTGGCGTAACGTCCGGTCAAGGCAGCCATCTCGCCGTGAGACAGCGGGTGTTGGAGCAGCGGTGCGATGTTGTCTTCCATAGCCATGTATTCAACTCCTGGCAGAGACTTGGGGATGGAGCCGCACAGAGCCGCGGGCCCTTTGCAGCTGCGATTTTCGCCCTACGCTTTCAACGGAGGGTAAAAACCCCAGAGAGCTCCTCTTTCACTTTCGCCCTTCCCCCATTTGTTGAAGCCTGTTTGGGAGTCACCGCCATCAAGGCGCTGCCCCGGTCCCCTGCAGGCCTTAGAACCCTGAGCTGAGTGGGTCCGCACAAGGCCGGTCTCCCTGCCGTCCTCTCATGCCCTGCGTTTCCTTCTTCAGGCTCGCTTTGCTCAAGTTTACTTGGTGATTGCGATACAGCCTTGGTTTTTAGGGTTTCCCATTACAGCCCTGTCATTTGGGTTTTTATGTGGACCGGAACTCCATGCTCCTTGCTGCTGTGAGACGGTAAAATAGAAATTGAAACATAGCCTCTGCTCTGTGGAAGACCAAACTGGACCTCATGTACACGTTCCTTATGCCAGCAGGCGAGGGTAGAGGTTTAGCGTCTGAAACTTAAAAGTTAGGATTATTTGGTCTGTGTTGTTAGATGCATAGCTGGGTTGGTAGCCGAAACGTCTTAATTGTAGCCGCCTGATTTCTGTTATTTCTAATTGTAGCAGTTTGATCATTTTATTTCAAACGGAAAGTGGGATTGGTTGAGTAAACTTAGTTTCATAGATAAGTGCTTTTTTTTTTCTTTGTCAGGCGGAGTCTCACTCTGTCGCCCAGGCTGGAGTGCAGTGACTTGATCTCAGCTCACTGCAAGTTCTGCCCCCCGGGTTCACGCCATTCTCCTGCCTCAGCCTCCCAAGTAACTGGGTCTACAGGCACCCGCCACCACGCCCGGCTAATTTTTTGTGTTTTTAGTAGAGACGGGGTTTCACCGTATTAGCCAGGATGGTCTCGATCTCCTGACCTCGTGATCCGCCTGCCTCAGCCTCCCAAAGTGCTGGGATTACAGGCATGAGCCACTGCGCCCGGCCTTTTTTTTTTTTTTTAACGTTTAGCTTAAGTTCAGGAAAACAAAATACTCAGAAGATGGACCTTTTAATATGTGTGATCTTGTACGTTATGTTCAAGTTTTGGTTTTTATTTCAAGTACCAACTTTATCTTGAGTAATATAATTTTCCGTGGTGGCAGGCCAGAGATATAGGGTTATAGAAAGATGCTCTGTTTAAGACTCTTGACAGGGAAGAGCTGTAAATTGAAGCAGTGGTTATAGTTACTAATCAAGCCTTGTACATTAAAATATATACACTCAATTTGAATGAACCGATGGTTCTTAAAGAAAACAAAAAGTATTGGCTGGGCACTGTAACTCGCACCTGTAATCCCAGGACTTTGGGAAGCTAAGACAGGAGGATCATCGCTTGAGGCCAGGAGTTCAAGACCAGCCTGCACAACATAGCAAGACCCCATCTCTACAAAAATAAATTTTAAAAACAAAGCAAAAATGTTAATTGGTTCCTCATAAATTTGAAATATTAATGCATATTTTTGGAGTGTGTTAGAAAGACAACGGAAGTCTGATTTTAGCCTTGGTTCTACCACTAAAGGACAGTCAGGTCTTTGGGTACTGCTGAACTTCTTGAACCTAAATTTTCTTCCTTAGTAGCTTCATAGTTTTTGGTGAGAATCGAGAAAGATGCATTTTGTAAATTGCGAGCCGTCATCTTATTTAATCATCATGAAAAGTGAATGTTCGATGATGTTAGCATCCTAGGGTTATTATATTAGACATTAAACTGTCAGGGTCAGAGAGCTGGTGTGAAGTTGAGCCAGGACTTAGCTATTTCACCACTGAGTTTATTCATGCTTTTCCATTATACTCCTTAACACTTCCTGTGATGACTAATTAAGTTGTACATTGTAGGGAGGGTTATTAGACCCATTTCATAACGCTATTCTCTATAAATAAGAATTTTCAGTGTTCAGTATGCCCTACTCATTACTCACTTTTTAATCCCTAGTAATCCAGTTTAAGCCATTACTGCCCTAAAAATTACTTAGAACTTTCCCATTACTTTTTCTCAGTCATTGTTCTTTTTCTTTAGTGTTTACTGCAGCTGGCTTTCAGGCAGCCTTTGCTTCCACAAAATGAGGCCTCATTCTCTTTTCCTACTCTGTCTTTAAATGTAGTTAAACAAGTCATTAGCTGCCTTGTTTATCACTCAGCTCTCTTTCATGTCTCATTGCTGGGAGGATTACTCCCAAATCTGGTTTTCCAGTTCTGCCTCTCATGAGTCCCTCAATTCTGGCTTCTACAGTAAAACATTTCTAACTGGTTTTTCTGCTCTCACAATAACTCAAGACAGCTAACAAAACAAAAAGCAAGCTAATTATTCCCCTCAATCTCCTCTTCTCCATTTTTATTATTATTTTTTGAGACAGAGTCTCACTCTGTCACCCAGGCCGGAGTGCAGTGGTACGATCTTGGCTCGCTGCAACCTCCGCCTCCTGGGTTCAAGCATTTTTGCCTCAGCCTCCCGAGCAGCTGGGATTACAGGTGCCTGCCACCATGCCTGGCTAACTTTTGTACTTTTAGTAGAGATGGGGTTTCACCATGTTGGCGAGGCTGGTCTCGAACTCCTGACCTCAGGCAATTTGCCCACCTCAGCCTCCCAAAGTGCTGGGATTACATGTGTGAGCCACCGTGCCCGGCCTCCTCTGCTCTCCTTTAAAATACTTTTTATAATTATGCCATGATTCTGCTCATTTAAGTTCTAAATCTTGGATGTCATAATTGGTTTTCCCAGTTCCTAACACATTTACGTAGGTATAACAACTTGTCTATTTTGTGTGTTTGTGACAATTTCGGATTTACCTGTTCACCCTGTTACCTTACTATTGTATTAGTAGTATTAGAACAGTGTTTCCATCCCATTTCACATACTATGTTATTGTCAGAGTAGTCTTCCTGAAACCACACTTTGTAAATGGAACTTTTCTCTCTCTTGCATCTTTTTAAAAGACCAGATCTCATGCTAATGCCCAGGCACCATCGTAGCTCACTGCGGGATTCAAGCAGTCCTCCCACCTCAGCCTCCTGAGTAGTTACAACTACAGGTCATTCTTGCTCAGAAAACTTTCATGATTTCTTGCTAAAATTCCAAAATCTTTAGCTTGGCATTTGGGATTTTCTACAGTAGGAACCCTGTCCATCACATAAACCTTACGTCACTACATGTGTTTGTGCAAAAATGGCTGCCTGAATGAGTTGCTTGAATGTACTTTTTGAATTATTACCTGTTTGCCATTGCTTGCTGTTTGTATTATCTGGAATGGCATCCTTTTCTACGTGAGAGCTTTAGCACAAATCCCTCCTCAGTGAAAATAGTGGCTAAAGTTTTCTGAGTGCTTGCGTCTGTGAGGCACCATGCCTTTAATTTCCACTATTGCATTGGAGCAGTGGTTATAATTATCAGTCAAGCCTTGTACATTAAAATATACACACCCAAATATACACACCTTGTGGCACAGGTACTGTTATCGTCAACTTGGATTTGGAGAATTTGCCTAAGATCACATACCTAGTAAGTAGCAAGAGTGGGTCTCTGTCTCATGTAATTCCAGAGCCCAGGTGCTTAGTCATACTCTAGTGCCATAGCAGTTATAGCTAACACTTACTAGAGGACCAGTTACATGTCAGGGACTGCTATAAGGGTTTTACATATTTGATTCTTTGAACACCCTATTGAGGTAGCAACTGAAGTGATCTCTGTTGTATTTATGATGAAATTGAGGCTTTGAGAAGTAACTACCCACAGTCTCATATCTGCTAACTGGGAAAGCCAGAATTAGAACCCAGGCAGTCTGCTTTTGGAATTCATACTGTAAATCTCTTTGATAAGCTGTCAAATTGTACAGCCACAGAGGAAAAAATTTACTGTTTGTCCGTTTGTCATTGTATAAGGACTTGGGTATAAAGAAATAAGCAGTATATAGGCATTATATAAG